ACCCCGTAGCCAATCCTAGAGCTCTTTTGACATCAAATCTATATCGTGTACCTCCCGGTGACCTCCAAAGCTCTCAAATCACTCTCGAATGCATCTCGAATCATCCCAATTGCTCCTCAAGCGCCGGTGCCGAACTCTAAATTCCTGATTTTGACTCCAAATGACACAAAACTCGAACCAACGCCTGTTAAACATTACTTGAGCTAAAATTGAGAATTGCAACACCTTAAAGCTCAGAAACCATCAAAATCCAATCCCAACACACATCAAATGCATGTCTAAATACAGACTTATCAGGAAGCTATGAGTGCATTATGTTATGAGGCATATGTAGACTATAATATCTACGGTTGTTGTTGATTGATGGATCGAGGTGATGAATTTTTTGATTTGTGCTTCATTAAATTTATAGTTATTACTCTTGTATTTTACTTTTTATGCAAAGTTTTACTTCCATTTTCATATTCATATTTTATTGAATGTGTTTCTATTTTTATTTTTGATTTTGCAGACATTTAATGTTCAAGAGCCATTCAGTGAACGAGACATTACCGAGACAAGAGAGCGTTGGGCGTCATTTGTTTGTGACACCACAAGCATTTTCTATTAACAAATCTAGTTCTATTTTGATGTCTAGAATGAGTAGTGTTGGTTTCATGTGAAACTTTTACTTCTACTTGGATGAACTTGTGAATTGTGATACTTTGTAGTTTTTGCTTGGATTAACTTGTGAAACTTTGTAGTTTTTGCTTGGATGAACTTGTGAAACTCTGTATTGTTTGCTTGGATTGTTTGGTACTACTATTATGTAATATATATCCAAAATTCTCATGCAAAGGTTTCATTATGTTAATTATGGAATAAGAAATGAGATTATATTATGCATAATCTATGGAAAATATGGTTTAGCTTTTAAAAAGATTCAAAAACGGTTGGTAAATTAACACATATAAAAAGGATTTTATGTGGAGTTATACTAGACTGACACCGAAAACATTTGACAACAGTTAAATTCAAAACCGTTATAAAAAACATTCTATAAGGGGTACGAGTGGTACGGTTACCCGACACGAAAAGAACCCTACTTTTCATATCGTTTGCTACTATGTCGTTGTAGGAACTGACATTAAAAGTGCATTTTAACCCATAGAAAAGTGTTTTCTACATTAGTGCTTCGAAGTACTTGATGTACACAAAAGCATAATAGACCGCATTTTCTAATTCCCCTATTTGCACTTTAACGTCTTTATCTTTTTTTTTTCCTCACCATTGATATGGTTCACAGAGTCATTATTTTCATCATTGTACTAGTATTGAGCCACTAAATCAAGCAATTCTTGTGACGATGGTCGAGATAGACGAGTGTTTGAATCTGTCCAATCGTGCCTTTTCTTTCTTTCTTGTACTACTCTGCCTAAAACCACGACTTTCGTAGCAAGTGCCCAACAAGAATCTGCAAATATAAATATGTTTAAGCTATTTTCCTTAAACTAAAACTAATTAAAAGAAATATATGTATGAAATGGGTTTTGTACAAGAACAAGAAGAAAATCAAGAAGTATGCGAATAGACTCGAAGCTATAAATAGAATTCAATGTATTTTTGAGTAATAATGATTGTGATTTACAATGGATAACTTATATTTATAGAAGAAGTAATTAATGCTCTCCTAGGAGTTTCGTCCATTGTCTTGAGGTTTCGTCTGCCAATTTCCTCCATTATCCGACGGTTTCAACGCAAGATTCTTCCTAAAAATCAGATTACAGTTCAAGTAGCTAATCCTATCCCCTTCGTCTTACATTTACTCACTCAAAAGGGTGCAAAAACGTATAAATGGACAATTTATTGCATTATTAGCTCTCATAATTGTAGCATTAAATCCTATTCATGTAGCACTAATTATTAAAATAGTTGCCCAACACCATATATGCTGCCTAACGAGCACGACATATGAAAAGTCATACTAGTTGTCTCTTGATGAACAACTAGGCAGAGGTAATCAACATCTTTCATTACCCATGAGAATGTATCCTGAAAAAAAGAGTTCATGTTAACATAATGTATCTTGTTGTTGTCGTTGTTGTCATTTTTGTTGTTTTCGTTGTTGTCGTTGTCGCCACCGTCGTCATTGTTGTTGTCATCATCATCTTCATCATTACCATCATAATGACATATTCACCGTCATTGTTATATTTTTCGTTATTGTTATGTATAACATATTACTAAAAAAAGTACCATGGACAAAACAACGACTTTTTTTCCTAGTTTTCAAAAATGAGATTAAAAAAGAGGTTAGGAGACTATTATAGCTTTATATTAATATAATCTCACCCATTGGTGCTAAATTAATGCCACCATGACCAATAATACAATAGTGACAAAAATCCATTAGTGACAAAAAATTATTATTGACCAAAAATCTAAAATTCGTAAGTGACAAAAAAATTCCGCTCAGTGACATAGTGGCTTCCGCCCAGTAACAAATTTCCACTCGTTCAGTGACAAACGTTCACCCATCCAGTGACCAACATTCGTCTGTCCTGTGACCAATATCTGTCTGGTCAGTGACCAACGTTCGCCCGTCCACCGACGAACTACCCGACCTGCTCAATTACAGTTATCCAATCCAGCTAGTTTGACCAGTTAGAGTTACCTGACCAGACCCATTACAGTTATACGATCTAACCCGTTACAGCTACCTGATACAACCCGATTCAACCCCTAAACCCTAACAAATCATGTGTGTGCTCGACATTTGCAAGATCACGCCTTCTTCAGCTTTGACTTGACTAACGGCACACATCATTGGCAAGTCAGCAACGGTACACATTTGCCGCAATAGTGACCAACGGTACACATTTGCGTAAAATCCCGATCCCGATCCCGATCCCGGTGTCCCAAACCGTAAAATCCCAATACCGTTCCGAAACTCTCCCGATCCATTTAGGATGCAATTATTTCATCCCGAACCGGTCCCACACCGATATTAACCGGGACGGGACCGGGATGGCTATAAAATATCATGTCCCGTCCCGGTGTCCCGTTTGAAATTAATATGTTATTTTAAATTTCTAATGCTATGTAATAGCCAAACCCAATTAAAACATTCTAGTCTTTAGTCTCGCTAGTGTAATTTTATCTTATTTCATGTCTCCCTTAGTCTCGTTTCTTTTGTTTCTTTTGATTAAAATTTGTTTAATTCTCATTCCAATACTGATCCATAATATATTATTACGTGCGGAATATTATTTATGATGGAAGAACTACTACTCCAAATTATAGTGTTGTTATAGATTTAATATTTTCAAAATAACTACTAGAATATATATATATATATATATATATATATATATATATATAGTGTCTGTATAGATATGATATTTAATTTAATGTGGTATTGAATAATTACGAGTGTACTACAAAGTATAAAAATATTTTGTGTTACTATTCTACTAGAGGAAACACAAGATTAGGAGGACCAAAAAAATTTACAAGACAAAAATTAAAAATAGTTAATTAAAGGTTTTACTTAACTTTATAGGGAAGCTAAATTTGTAAAAATAGTTACGTCTTTATTTTGATGTTATGGCTTATTTTTATATCACATTTCACAAATGCATATTTTATGGGACATCCCGAACCGTCCCGGTTTTTCTCGGGTTGTCCCGGTCCCGTTTTAAAACATTGGGATAAAGACTTATCCCGTACCGTAACAGACCGTTATTATAAAACCGGGACGGGATCGGGATAAGCCAAATCCCGGACCGTCCTGGACCTTGCCCACCCCTATAAAATTTGGTCCTATATTTGTCATATCTACTATTATTATTAGTCTCCGTTAGGATATTGTTACTTTATTCAGTATGAAAGAGTCAAAATCATCCCGCTTTTTATTTGTGTTAGAAAACTCCTCATTTTTTCATAAACTTATTAATACCAGTTTTTTAGACTTGATTAATGCATCAAGCTTCTTTTTTTTCTTCAACTTTTCATGGCCTAATTCATATTTTTTCATTCCAGGAGGCATAATAATGAGCTTAAAACAAGACAACAAACCAAATTCACTATAAAACTTAAATCATTCACAATTAAACAATCAGAATCAGTCAAAATGAAAAATTCAAACCATGAAAGGGTATGGAAGAACTTAATACTTAAAGAAATGATGCCGCATAAACAAAATGACAGTGATATCCCAAAGTAACAAGAGCCTCTCTAACACTTCAATTCACACGAAGAAAAACTCAACCTTCAAAAAAGCAAAGAAAAGCTAGTTAAAAGAATTGAAATAATTAAAATGCTGAATCGCTGAATTAAGAACCGGAGATAAGAAGTATTTCATAATTAATTTTCAAAAAAAAAATAAATTAAACAAATTCTAAAATGAAGTGTTTGCTAACCTCTTTGCCCGAGCACCCAAACTTCTCGGTTGATCAAATAAGAGGAAGAACTTAAGAATGGAAGAACATAACTGAAAGGACCGATTGTGTTTCAACGTTTCATGATTAATTGGAAAACGCACTGAAGAGTGAAGATTTAACCGTTTCCCCAATCTGATAGAATTGTTTTAGAGCCCGCTTTCTTTTCATTTATTGTGGAAAATTTAGGATTTCAAGCTTGATATGTACACAATCAAGTTGAGAGCTTTGAGTTGTTTCGTTGTTATTTAGTTGGGCTCACACACTCACACTCACACCCACACTCACACCCACACTCACAATCACACCCACCACACCCACACCCACACCCACACCCACACCCACACCCACACCCACACCCACACTCTGGCAGGACATGATCATTTCTCTATATATAGATACACATATACTAGAGGTTTTTGAAAAATTATGGGCCTTAATCATTTATAGGCCCCGTGTAGGGGCACTGTTTGCACAGCCCAATAGACGTCCCTACTAGGCCCTATCGGAACCAAAAATTTCGTTGAAATATTATCTAGGAAAAGTTTTGTAGAACTGGAGCAGAAAGTTAAAGAAGAAAAATGTAAAAAGAGAGCATACTATAAGCAACTAGTGACTAAAATCACATAATGTTGAAATATGACACTTGTGAAACTATCAAACTATGCTCCCCCATTATGGGAGAATCAAATTTCAGTGAGGAATGCTAGAAAACTGCTATTCCTACATATCGAAGAACAAAGCATACTAATTTAAGAGTAGACAAAGAACAAGATTTCTATATATAATAAGAGCAATTAAGACTCACTATTTCGAGCTAAAACCAATACAATAACTACATCAGAACCAGAATTTGTGTTCGCATTAACAAAAAGTAGCACACGTATGTCAACCGGGTGGACAGATAATCCCACTTCACCATTAGAATATTGCCAAGAATCACTCGAGATTGTATGGTTGAATGGAGCCGGACCAGCATCACTGCTTGCTACTATTGGACCTCTCACAACCTAACTTCTTGCACATCCTTCTGTTCTTCACCTTATTCTTCTTTGTACACTGTGCAGTCTCTGGGAAAGAATGCACCCAAGCACAAGAACCACTTTTAGTACCAAGACACATATTTTGTGAATTTGTTTGCTTAGTCTTTGAACTTAAGTTCCATGTAATGGTATGCCTCAGACTTTTGAGACACTCAAGTAAAAAAGATATTGGTAGTTGCCTAGTTGGTACCAGTACTTCGTATGACCAAGAAATTCCAATTACTTATTGAGTTACTTGCATAGGTAAAAATAATATTGCCAATGTTCAATTTAGTTCTTCAAGTTTTCTATTAGGGGAGAATAATTTAAATAATTAAATATCCGAAACTTTGAAGGGGTGTGAGGAAAGTACCCCAAACTTGCGCATATAATATACATACCCCAATTTAGTTCACAAATGAAATTTTAGAATGTTAACAGTTAACTACATCCACATAAAGCTTAGAGCATTTTAAATTGTGTACTTATTGCATTAAATTTACATTTGTAAAAAACATATAATCATGGTGCAAAAATAACTTTCACATAAACTTTGAGGTATATATATTACATATGCAAGTTTGAGGTATATATCTCACACCCCTTCAAAGTTTAGGGTATTTATATTATTTTCCCCTTTCTATTATGAGAGTTATTATTATTATTACTTGGTTAAGGTATCTCCTGAATATTTACTGATTAAATTTTAAGTCATTCAAATTGTACCATCATATGTTGGTTAAAAGCAAGTAATCTTCTTGAAAGCAAGTAAATTACTGGAATATTTTAACCAAGTAAATTCATGGCAAAGAACTAAATTGAAGGAAGTAATTTACTCATTCAAGTTGCTTTCTGGGTTCAATTTATTACTTTTGCTTCATTCAACTTACTGGATTATATGACCAAAAAAAACTTACTGGATTACAACTCAACTTATGAATTATCCCCATGGTTACTTGGTTACATTTAATCCAGTAACCGTGTACTTTGCTTTTAGTTGTTCAACTTCGCTTTTACTAAGAGTTCAATATATTACTGAAAGTCAGAAACTAAAGAGATACTCCAATCAAATAAGTCTCTTATGTAATCACTAGGTAGTGTCTAACAAAGATAATTGAAAGAATGAAGTAATGGTACACTTGAATTTGAAAATCATACTCTGTATTTATTATTTTTTATATCTTAGTTAACTAATTGGTGAACCCAAAAGCTTTTGGGAATAAGGGTTGGATGTTATTGTTAGTTAACCAATTGAAAATTATACTCAGTGAGTATGCAATATCATCTTAAAGTTAATAATTGTCATCGTTTGAAATAGAATTTGCTAAAAATGTGTCTGATAACTAGCGTAACAGGATTAGCCAATCTAATAAGTTAATATGGCATAAAAAATGGATATCTAACACAAGAGGTCATGTACAATAGATATAAAAGTACAACCCTCTGTTCCAAAAAGTTTTGACAGATTACATTATTTAACTGTCCCCAAAAGGTTTTTCATTTTCTTCTAAAGCAACAAATTTAAATTTGTGTTTCATAGTATTTCTCCCCTTAACACATATTTGAATCACACAACTTTAATTTATTAATCTAAATGCAAGTCAAAATTGACTAGCTTTCATAAGAAGAGTATATTACGGAGTATATACTCTGTATATATTGCTATACTTGAGGGATACCTGGCGGGTAGGCATTTTGACAAACACCTGGAAGATGTTCCTGTACGTTCTCCGCACCGCTCTCAACGCTTGCATTGGGCAACAAAGGGCCGATGATTTTCTGGCGACGGGAAGCAGCTTCCTTGAGCTTCGTTCTGCGGATGCGCTTCCTCTGAGCCCTAGTCAATTTCTGAGCTTCACACCCACCCTCCTCATCGCTTGAAGAAGAAGAAGAAGAGGAGCTCCTTTCTTTCTCAAAATCATCTGCATTTTAATTCAATCTGGCTATTAGCGTATCAGTATAGTTCAAATTGATTAGAATATTGGAAGCAAAACAAGCACCTGGAACGAGATCTAAATCGAGACTTTCTGTATGAGTGCACCCGGCTCCCCCGCTCCTTTCCTCCTGTTAAAAATATAATCAGTGTGTGATACTCAGAAGAATAAAATATCTTTAAAGTTGTAAAGCTTAGTACTTGGCGATGAGGAGGCGATGATGGAGGCGGATAGAGCGCTTTAAGGAGAGCTTCATGGAGCTTTCGTCGTTTCTCCTCCTTCCTGCTCATCTTTCTCTCTTTCGTCGTTTCTCCTCCGTTTTGTTTGGACAGAGTGTTTGGAAAAAAAAAAGAAATAATTACATAAATATGACCAAAATAAAGATGGTTTACAAAAATATGATTCATTACTAGAGTAGTAATAAATCATAGTAATCCATGTTCAAGTTTTGAACTTTAGTTACCACAACACTACATTGTAGTAATGAATAGTCATATTTATGTAAATAAGTTTTATTTTAGTAATATTCTCGTAAAAAACCCAAAAAAAAAATGATGGAAGTTTTAGTAAGTGGTACTAAGGGTTCGGAAGGGAAGGGAAGTGTAAGTGTTGGACATAAATTTATCTTGTTTGGGAGAGTCAAATGAATGAAGTGTTAATAATGGAATTGTTAATAATTTTACCCTGAGGCAAAAGAAACGATTAAAGAGAAGAGATGAAAAAACAAACCATCAAACCCGTGGGAAAGACATTTAAAGTGAAATGTCGAAGCATTTTATGTTTTTCGGGTAAATGGGAAGGGTAATAATTGTCCAACACTTCAAAACACTCCAAATCGGGGTGTTAAAAAAATGGACAATTAAGGTGTTGGGAAGGTTATTATTAACACTTCCTAACCATTACTAACACCTCTGGATTTTTCTCCCAAACAAGTGTTAGCATCAACACTTACTAACACTTCCATTATTAACACTCCTCAACACTCAATCCAAACAGGCCGTTATGGGCTAAAAACTCGTATCTTTCGTGCATAGTTTGATTATGCGAAAAAATTATATGATCTAAATGAAGTGCTTTGACATTTTTGTGTGTGGAATTCCTATTGCATTTTTAACTATGTTTAATTAAATTATCTGTCAGATTGTGATTATAGTTCAATTTACATCCTCCCATCGTGTCGTCCGGTCGGTGTTGGGGACCCTCAGGAATGGGGTGTCGTCCTTTTTTTAATTAAACTAGAACGATTAATGTCAAGCTTAGTAATAAATGTTGAGTTATAAATGTCTACGTCACATACATATGTTTATACGGAGTATGTGTCAAATACTTTTATGCAAATAACACAAATTAGAGCAAAGTGATATTTGTGTGTGCATAAATCAATGCCTATTCAGAGATACTAGTTATATAGACACGATTTGTCTTGACCAAATTTCATAGATAATAATGCTTTAATGTGACCCGACTCAACTCGGTGTTTCCGAATTATATATGTACAAAACCATTTTTCTAAAGATATTGGGGTTGGTCATGCTTAGGTTATAGGTAGTATATATATGTTCATGGTGTTCCACGCTTGAGGAGTGTATGTGATCACCTTGTCACTTATTCGAACTTTATTAGCATATGTGATGTCCTAGGTACAAGGTAACTTGATTGGGTGTCATCCATATCTTGAAAGTCCATCTTGCATTTTGGCATCTTCACATGCCTCCCCTACAAAAAGTTGTGTAATTAGGAAGTGTCACTATGGAAGTGGCCATATATAGTCTTTGTGTCTCACGCAATTTGTAATTCGTTTAGTCAATGAATGTTTGCAAGAGTGGAGTGTTCATGTTGGTTATGCGTGGATTTTCATGTCTGTAGTAGTTCTCTATGTAGTACGGAAACTCCGGGAAAAAGTACGTTTCCGTTTCGGAAACTCTTTGGAAACTCTCCCAACAAGTGTTTTTTGAGCAAAAAAGTTGACGTTTCACGTTTCATCATAATTTTCACGTTTCCGTGCAACATAGTTTGTTTTATACGATGACGTCACAAACTTCGTATATACATGTATTAAGTGCAACCTAATAACCTATAAGACAATATAGTATAACAAGTCATATGCGTGTCCCATGTTATGCTATATACTTCGTTTATATATCTAGAGAATGCATAACAAGTCAATACTAATTAACATCTAGTAATGATGCCATACTTTATTAATTGGCACTCTCTTTTGAATCTCTCAATATTAAGTTATAACTCAACATTTATTAAGTAATGTGTACACCCTTATTTAAGTAATGTGTACACCCTTATTTGAATCTTGGTAAATTGAGTTAATTAAGTATATCTTTTGCTCCGATCCCATGTCTAACTTATGGTAAATTATGCAAGTAGCTATCTATATTTGTCGGACATGCTTTTGAAATGTAATGTAATGGACTTGGTTTTACCATCTTGACTTGGACTTTGGTGTTAACACGTCAGCACTCTAATAAATACTTTACTCACACTTAAACTGGACATTTTTGTGGACATTGTTTGCATAATATCGATAGACAAGAAGGTAAGACATGACAAGTAGGGATGGCCTAAGTAGATCATAGTTCAAACTTAAGTTCTCCTAGCCCTTATCTCGAGTGTTAATTCCCGCTTCAGAATTTTCTTCTTGTGGAGAACTTGAAGGTGTTGACATATTAGTAAATAGTAATGGTTCTATCGAAAGCTACTTTGATACTCATGGTCACGCTTTATTAATTGCACGCGATTTGTTATACACGAAGGTGTACTAATCTATTGTGCGAGCGGCTCACAGTTTAATATCTCAAGTATCAAGGGTATGCTAAAGTTAATGATGATTTATACGGATCCGGAACCTCCGTCTTGCTTTAAAGTAATGCACAGTGCTCGGCTTTTGGAGACCGTCCGATCAAAGCATCAATTGTTTGAGATTTCAAGGTACACATCTCGAGACTTCTCCCATCCGACGACCCCCTGCCCACAAAGCACTCTGTCGTGCGGCAGAGAATCTCAATTGGACTTATACTTCAGGTAGTCTTTTATGGCTTTGGGCTAGTGAAATCAGAATTATTATTTTCAGTTATTCAATAAAGTTTGGACTTTATATCCCGTAACTCTTTCTTTATCTTGCCATAATTTTTGTTTGAAGTTATAATAATTGCCCAATGGAAAATTGATACAACTGCTGATAACATTTAAGTACTTAAATGAGTATATTGTAGTACAAAAATTCAATATTCTAAGGTGAAGAACGGCATGACTATTGATGATATGACTAGTATGGATTTAATTTGCCACTTAAAAGCCTTATGCGCCCACAAAATAAGGAAGAAGGCGTCCCAAATTAGTTTTGATCTAAAAATAATTCAAGTGAAAGTAGTTATTCCCTCCCGTCACGTTAACATCGTTCAATCTTTTCATTTTAATTTGTATCATTAAATGGTCTCATATCAAATTTGACAAAATTTATATATGATTTTAAATTATTTTTACATTATTTGTTGAATTCTTATACCGAAAACTTGTGAAAGGATCAAGTACTACGGAGTATATTAATATCTGGGTTACTGCTATTAGATTGACCTTTAAAGATGAACTTCTGAGTCTTAACATTATTCCTATTTTATCAATTTAATATCAATCATATTAACTCGTTTTAATCCCGAAGACATGGCTATCCAAGTTGTAATGCCCACTCTTGTGATGTCACAAATGTCTTCATTCAGCGGGAGTCTTCATCCCAACAACTTATCAAAGCCAACAACCAATAATAACACCACCTTTATGACAGCAGAAGATAGCTCATTAACTGAATAAACTATCATACATCCATATCCGCTAGCCGCCATTTTAAACATGGATGTCGCTAAGTTTTTAAACATTTTGCTTATCCCCTGCTTGTCTTTGGGAGTATGTTCGCACTTGAAAAAAATAAGAACTTCTATTTCTTATCCCAAAGACCCAAACTATGAAGATGTTATGGCGATGAAAGGGTGAAGAATATGGATATAGAATCAGTGAAAAGAGGGCTGAGTTATTATACAAGAAAGAACAAGAAGTGGGTTTTTGCTCTGGGAATCTTAGGATTCACTAGTTACAGTGCATATAGATCTTACAATTCACCAGCTATGGTGAAAAGGAGGCAGAGATTTTTGGGATTATTTGGCTCCTTAGCTTCTTTAGCTGAAATGGCATCTAATTCAGCTAATACAATTTCCATTCTTTCAAAAGATCTGAATGAATTTATACAGTCAGATTCGGATCAAGTTCCTCCAAGTATAAGGCAGATTTCCAAGATCGTGAAATCAGAGGAGGTCTCAGAGTCTCTGGTTAGGATCACAGCGTCTGTAACCGCGGGTGTTCTTCAAGGCTGCCAAAACACGGCTGGTACTGGTTTTTTAACATCAGATTCTGGGTTCGGCGTTGATCGGGTTCTGGATAAGTTGTTCACCGATGCTGGCTCTGGTTTTGCGTCGGCGGTCGTGGGGAGCTTCGCCAATAACTTGGTCACGGCGGCGTTCTATTCAGACAGTCCGGCCGATGGAATGAGGTATGATCCCATCATATAGTTTATTGCATATCATCGTCTTTACACATGGTTTGAAGTAGAAAAAAGTAAATGTCCAAAATTACTCTTGTTGTAGTAAAGCAACGTAGTAATCCTAAACGAGGTAAATGAATACTCCGTAATAAAGTAGGGGTCAATTTTGCTTTCAATTTTCAAAGCAAAAGTTTACCAAAAGTACAAACAAAATAAGGTAGAAAGATAATTTTGGGATAAAGAGACTATATGTTATGTGCATGTTTGGTAGACATAAATTTCTACCTTTATACTCTGTATTATTTAAAAACTGTTTAAAGCTTTAAAGTTTCTAGTTGGATGTTTGCGTTGAAACCTTCTAACTTTTATACTATTTAATAAGTCTCTAAAGCTTGCAGTTTTATGTTTGTCGTGAAAAGTAAGTTACTTTTAGCATATGAGAAAAGTCAGTAACTTTTTGCATTATTTAGTCCAACAACTTGTATATCAAACAGAATTAAATCGAACAGTCAATTTTCTACCAAACTATCACATTTTCCATTTAAGATCTGTTCGGTCAGTAAAAGCTAACGGTTGCTATAAAACTAATACTCCCTCCGTCCATAATTGTTCTTCCATAGTACAAATGGCACGAGGATTAAAATAGTGACTATTGTGTGTTGGAGAATTGTGCGAAGGAAAGAGAAATGTGTAAGAATTGTTATGAACAAAAAATTCTTTACTACAAAAAGGAAAATGAAAGTTTGTTTTGGAATGCCAAAGAAGAAAGTTGGAAGATTTTTGAGGAATGAGGAAGCAAAAGTATTTTATGGAGTACTAATTATGCCAAACAAACCATACCCTATATGATCTCAATCACACCATCTGATTTTCATCGCCCTCTATCAATTTGTTAGAATTAAAATAGGTTAGTGATAGTCGTTAATGGATGAAGTGCGCCAAGTAATTATGAAATTATCTCTAAACCATTCTATTAACACAAGACTTTATTCTTTCACTAGGTGGGTAAACAATGTACTCTACGACGAAAAGTGCAGAGAGATAATTGAAAACTGCGTTCAACTCTCTGTAAGCACAGCCGTATCAGTATATCTGGAGAAGACGATGAACACCAACACCTTTGGTGACATCTTTTCTGCACTCACAAACCCCAAGCACGAAGCCGAAGTAAGAGACATTCTGGTTACCCTATGCCAACACACAGTGGAGACATTCATCAGAACATCTCATCAAGTCTTGAGCAATAACAATCAACATCTCCAAAGCAATGTTTTGGCTAGAAACACAAAGTTCATTCTTGACTTGACTAAGAGGCTTACCTTTGAGACCATGAAATCTTTTCAGGAGTTTGTGCAGGAACAGGTGTCAGAGAGTTTGAGAAGAAGGGCAAAGTTAATGCATGAAAAGGAAGAAGCATTGGAGGAGTATGTGAGGCAGAAGTCATCTACTGCAATTACTGCATTTCTTACTTTGTGCTTGCACATAGTGAACAGTCCTTGGCTTTTAGTACAATAAAAGAATGGTTGACATATATGATGAAATTTTCAATTTTAAAAAGGTACAACTCCTAAGAATTATATATTCACATAACACACCATATCTATGTTAAGCTTATGATTGTTCATAAATTCAAGTTGAGGGCAAATCAATTTTTATAATTTTGGAGGAAGTTTTTGTTTATTTTATTTATTATATTTATTCCACTACTCATCATCATTTAACCTAATTTAAATCAATCTTACGGATCTGCTCCGAATTGTGGTATCTTTAGTCATAGTTACTAGTTAGTATTGTACAAAAAGAAAAAAAGAAAGAAAGGTGTTAACCATTGGTCCATATAAAAATCATGTGTGTGAACAACTTTGTTATTAGTTTGGGTGATCTTGATGTCGCCGGATTAATCTTGAGTCCCTATATTATGAACCCACTCCAAGCTCTTGAGTGATGTGAATCTGAGCCGCTCAAACAATACATTAGGTTCCACCACTATCTACATAGAACCACGCACAAGACATCGCTCTTAACTGATTGATTATGTGTATCCTCCCTCATGTTCTTAGCATAGCTCCCAAGAGAACTGTCGTTGATTGGTCATACACTAGCAGGTTTCCCACAAGAAGTTAACTCTCACATTATCGCTTGAGGCGAGACTAATTTTTTTTATCATTTGAGTTAGCCCTGGGGGCTAACATATTATCATTTAATTTGCGAAAAAGACTCAAATTTATCTTTATTGACTTGAACTCAAAACCACTCACAATGGAAGGATTTTAACTGTGGGAATCGGTCCATTTAAACCTTTAAGAGACTATGTTATTGTGTCCAATTATATTTGTTATATTTGTATTTATGTATTAAATAGTTTAGTTATTAACTTTGGGCCAATTATATATTTTGCCCTATAAGTCCGGTTTAATACGGAAGCCGTTAATTCTGCTATTATATACTCCGTAACTAAAAGGTAAGCTTTCGTAAATGTAACCTGGGCCACAATTCATGCATGCAAATGTTCCAGAGAGAAGAGGAAGCTCTCATATCACTGTAGCTATTGAATACACCGTTCTTCATCATCTACTCTGCCTACTCTGTGCTTTGTGTTTTTATTACTTGATTGTTGGATAAACTAGAACAAACATAACCATACCCACATGTGTGTACATGTTGATTACAAAGTTTTCCCATTTTGATGAAAGAATTTCATTACAATTTTTGCTCAAATTATTGTTTTTAAGGAAACATTTTGTATTTAGCTTTTGATATCATAAAAATTAGTCATAACCCCACGTCACAACATTATCACCAACCCTATAAACCAGCAAAAGATGAGTGCCAACAACTTCCGAAGCAAGTTTTGACTACTAACAGACCCGACATTGACAAATCGCATGTTCAAAATTCAATTGGACGGACCAAATTATATAAAACATGTAATAATGAAATGCTAAATTGAAAAATAACGTTAAGTTCTTTTTTTTTTTATATAAAAGATAAATGTTATGAATAGGGAACAAATTACAGAGTTCAAGGGGCATACCCCCAAAGTTACCAACAACAGATCATACAAAAACAACCACATTACAAAAACCAGCTATCAAGAAGCACAAAAACAGTCCTTTGTGAACACAAACCAGCCACACTACTCATAGGAACCAACAGGGTTCATATAAATGGATAGAAACTGTTCCGTAAACTAGTAACCCATCTATCGGGGCATCAGAAGTTTATCATGTTCGGCGGATAAAGTCTATATAAAATCTTGTAAGTAAGCACTTTGATTTGCAAAATCAGTTCATCACTCGTGGCTTTTACCCCTCCAAACAGTCCGGTATTTCGGGCTTTCTTGATTGAGTAAACCGTACAAGCTAGAGCAATTCTAGCAGCTTTGCTAGTTAGTCTTGCACCCCTCCACTCCTTTTTCATCCATTTTACTGAACTATGGAGGGTATGAAGAGGTCTTCTAATTCCCAGTCACTCGCAAATAACCTTCCAAATGGTACTAGTCACCGGGCACACGAAAAACAAATGCTCCACAGTTTCGAAATGGGTATGACAGAAACCACAATTCCTATGCACATCCATATACCAAAGATTTCCAGCTGTGGATAATCTATTTCGAAAGCAAAGCCATAGAATAAAAGAAAATCAGGGGGAATATAATTTTTCGAAATGAAACACATCCATGACTTTCTAACCGATTTTCTCCTTATGATATCATATAGGTTAGAGGAATCCAGCTCCCCATTTTTGCAGTTTGCCCCTATTTGAGCGATAATTCCATTCGTGTTGCCAAAGGACAGAAGGAGCATATCCTTGATTTTAGCTAACTGCTTCAACAAAGGGGAGTCTCTTTTGTTTGGACTCCACTCCCAAATGGAACACCTCTTTAAGTATACACCATGAAACCATTTTATCCACAAAGAGTCTTTTTTAGCATGAATATTCCATAGAGTTTTCCCAAGTAGGGCAAGGTTCCAGGTCTTTGGATCCCTAAGTCCAAGTCCTCCTTCTTCATTTGGCTTACAGATATCACACCAAGCAACCTTTGCATGTTTCCCATCCCAAAGAAATTGTCGACAAGTTGTTATAATTCGATTATGGATAGCCATAGGAATAGGGAAAGCTTGTAACAAAAAAGATTGAACACCCTGGACTACTGCTTTAATCAATTCAATTCTCCCTACATAAGACATAGTTTTAACCTTCCATTTTGCCACATAACCCTCAATTTTTTCAATAAAAGGAGAGTACTGGGCTATGGAGACTTTTATGGGAGCCAGTGGGATACCCAAGTACCTAATAGGGAAACCTCCTTCCTGAAAACCCGAAAGAGCGAGTAGATCCTCCCTTTCCTATCCGTGTACCCCTGCCAAGAAGACATTGGATTTTTCCAGATTTACATTAAGTCCCGACACTTCTTTAAACGAGTCCAGGCATTTCATTAGGACCCTCACAGATGTGTAATCCCCTTTTGCGTATAGCATCAAGTCATCTGCAAAGATGAGATGAGACACCTTCATCTCATTACACCTGGGGTGAAAATGGAACCCTTGTTTACTAGTTTCATGGTTTAGTAATCGGGAGAGATATTCCATGCATAGTATGAACAGACCAGGTGACATGGGGTCACCTTGCCTCAGTCCTCTCTTTTCTTTGATAAAACCATGTAACATTCCATTAATAGACAGTGAGAAAGAAGTAGTAGTAACACATTCATTTTTTAACAAAGTGGAACATGTGCTTGTTAGAATCACACACCGGAAAAGTTTGAATCAACAAAGTGCTATATTAAGATGTGGGATACTCCTCCTATCAGGTTGACCTTTTAGGATGGAACCCCATGTCTTAATATGGTATCAAAGCCAAATCAATCCATGGTGTGGGCCCGTTTATGAAAAATGACGACACGATTATGAAAAAATGACAATGACGAACCGGCGGAAAAAATGAATGACGGCACGATCCAGACGAAGTGTTTGGTCGTGAGGAGGGGTGTTAGAATCCCACATCGGAAAAGTTTGAATCAACAAAGTGCTATATTAAGATGTAAATTGATGTAAATTACCGTCGGTGGTGAAATTACATGTAAATTGATTACATATACAACTACATCATTTTGATTTGGATGTATATACACAATGAAATTTTCAATTCAACTAGACAATTGAAATTGATCACACCGAAAACTAAAATTGAACACACATGCAACTATTGTCTGTGAGTCGCACAACTATTGTCTGTGTGGTAAATAATGTCTGTGCACACAGACAAATAATTGTCTGTGCAACATGAAAAAATTGTCTGTACACACAGGCACTCCACATATATTGATTGATTTACAAACTGATGTTAGTGTCAGACGGCTGTCAGTGTACTTTTTACAAAAAAAGTAAATGTGGACACAGACAAAATTTGTCTGTATGTACAGAAAATTCATGTCTTTGTTCACAGGCAACTTCATACCAATTGTCTGTAACCGACATTTTGTGTACCCTGTATACGGTAGCATTTCTCTAAAATTTAACTGACACAATCAATTTACTTCAGACGAAGCGGTCCTGACATATTTAGAAAAAAAATCATTAACTTAACACAACTCATTATCCTTCAAACAATCATACCGCAGGAATCTATCTGTTGTTTCTCAGAGCTGAGAGAGAGAGAGATAGCTCAATAATTCACCCACCATTCCTGCTTCTTCCTCCCATGGTTTCCCACCGAAGATGCCTTCTTATCCCAGCTTTCACTCCCCCTTCCTCAGGTCTCAATTCCTTCATTTTCTAATGCTTTAATTTGTTGTTGCTGTAATTATATAACTAATATATATTGATTTGCACATGTTTTATTTGTAGCTGGTTTTGCACGAGAGAAAAATCAGTTGAAAAAGGCGAAGACAAATATTATAATGACGACGAAAACCAGGCCGGATTCTTGTCAACGGCGGAGTGCTATGCCTGCACGCAAGTTGGGGTTCCGGTTTTCCACTCAACCAGTTGCGACAACGCGAACCAGCCGGAATGGGAGGCTTCTGCCGGTTCATCCCTAATTCCCATTAAAAACAAGCCCGGTTCGTCCCTCAATGTCCGGTCTTGGACCGGCCAGCGCCGGTCTGGACCCCGTACGTTCGCGCGTGTGATGGACCCTCGTAGCAAGCGCGTGCAGAGGTGGAACCGGGCGTTCCTGCTGGCGCGTGGCATGGCGTTGGCCATTGATCCTCTCTTCTTCTACGCTCTATCCATCGGCCGCGATGGCTCGCCTTCCATTTACATGGACGGCGGCCTGGCGGCGATTGTCACCGTCCTCCGCACGTGCGTCGACGCCGTCCATATCTGCCACCTGTGGCTGCAGTTCCGGCTTGCTTACGTGTCCAGAGAGTCGCTCGTGGTGGGCTGCGGGAAACTCGTTTGGGACGCGCGTGCGGTTGCCAAACACTACCTCCGCTCGCTCGACGGCTTCTGGTTCGACCTTTTTGTGATTCTCCCTATCCCCCAGGTGATGTCAGCTTAAATGATTTAATATATGAAAAAATAATTAAAATAGTTTTTCATAACACTTTCAGTCAATTTAATTGAAAAAGTAATTTACTTATTTTAATGATTACACTATTAATGTCTAGAAAGTAGAAGATTGTGTCTGTGGTAGAAGAGTTTGCTGTTGAGCCGAAATTTGCGGCTATCAAACTTGCTCTTAATTCATATAATCGAGACATTGCAATTATGAAGGAAAATGTGAACAATGTAAGAATGAATTCGGTCCATATATTCAAATACCACTAAATATGATATGATACAAATTTCATGGAGGCGGTTATATTCAAATACCACTAAATATGATATGAGACAAATTTCATGGAGGCCATAGGAAACCAGTGAGATGTATTAAAATCAAATTTATAGGGAAAAATGTAACTAATATACTAGTATGGTAAGAGTGTATTAGTGTGGTCAGTGTTCTTACTACTATTATAATCACATTGTGCTTTACAAATCACTTTCTTTTCACTATCCTTATTTTCTTTATATTGATATTGATTAATATTTCAAGAATTTTACAGAAGAATAGTCTTGATCATAGTTTTATAATTTGATGCTTTATTATCCATTATAAAAGAAGTGAAATGAACTCGATTATAGTATTATAATCAATGAATTTAGATGTCAAAAAGGTGAAATATAAAACTTAACCAAAATCATAGTACATCATAATATTATGGCGAATTGAAATCAATAATCCCTACGTTTACACATTTTATGAAAATAATCTGTACCGGAAAAGTTTACAATGATAATCCCAACTAGTTAACTGTTTCACAAAAATAAACCGAGTGCTAACGGTGTTAACTTTTCCGTTAGTTTTTTAAAATTTTAAATATATCGAAGCAAATACACACACACACACACAAGCTACCATATTTCTACTATACATTTAACTTAATTTGGATCAACCTTTTCTTCATCATTTATTCTTCATTTCTAAAAATCCCTTCCCGCAACAATCATTCCATACAAATTTAGTCCCTTTTCAAGTGAGTTTCATCAACCGTTATACCAAAATAGAGAACCACTCTACGAACTTCCTATACCAAAATAGAGAACCACTCCAAGAAAACTACGTATCTCTCTTTTTTCTTCTTAGGCCTCACCCATCCCGTGAAAGCCTCAAACTTCTTGTTATCAACATCAATACAAAAACTTTACATTACTATATTTGAATAATCATAAAATAGTTGTTAACTGGTTTGATTTTCATGTATATGCAGGTAATGTTTTGGTTGGTGGTACCAAAATTGATAAGAGATGAGCAGGTGAAGCTCATGATGACAATTCTTCTACTCGTCTTTTTGTTTCAATTCCTTCCAAGAGTCTACCACAGCATATCCTTGATGAGAAGAATGCAGAAGGTCACTGGATACATTTTTGGAACCATTTGGTGGGGTTTTGGCCTCAATCTCATAGCCTACTTCATTGCTTCCCATGTAACTAATCACATTGATGTTGCAATTTCTAATTTTCTTTTTATCGATTTGAGTGAAAACACACAAGTATCAACAAGGGGGAAATGTACGTTTTCCAATGATTAGGCAAGAAATAATGAAATTGTTGTAAGAAATTATTAGAACAATGCTTCTCTTCTATTGCATTCATTTGCTTTTTTAATCATAATAATCAATTTGTTTATCGATGGTACAGGTAGCTGGGGGATGTTGGTATGTACTTGCAATTCAACGGGTATCTACGTGCCTTGACAAACAATGTGGTGGGAAAAGCGCATGCCATACCCCCCTGTCTTGCTTAGATGTGAATGGCACTTTTGGTTATGGGATATACAACTGTGCTCTTCCCATAGTCTCTAGCCAATCTGTTGCTGTAAAGATTCTTTATCCTATCTTCTGGGGGCTTATGTCTCTTAGGTAACAAGTTAATATTACATAATGAGATTAAGCGTATTAGGGATTGACTGATTATCTATCATTTTTAAATTCATATGTTGATCAAAGAAGTTTTTCATAGAATATAATTTAAGTAAAAGTCGTGAAAAAAATAAGACAGATGGTAACTGCAATCACTTAAAGAAATGATCATGGTCACTGTATAATAAAACAAAACATCACTATGGCAATGATCATGGATTCATGGTCACTGTATAATAAATCAGAACATCACTATGGCATACAGTCGTTGCGAGAGTATCATCATGACCACTGTGGAATGAGTATCATATTTTTGTCATTAAGACATTAACTTTATCCTAGTGTAATTTTGGTCATAATTTCGTGATTCAATTTGGATGGTCAGTGAACCCCTTCATTTGTATGCAGCACATTTGGGAATGACTTGGAACCAACAAGCAACTGGTTGGAAGTTATATTTAGCATTTGTATTGTTCTTAGCGGTTTAATGTTGTTCACTCTCTTGATTGGAAATATTCAAGTAAGTAGTAAGAGTGCTTGCATTCCGCATCGTCATCACATGTATCGAAGCTTTTCTTTAAAAACTAGTGCTAAGCCTTAACAATCAATGTTGTGAAGGTTTTTCTGCATGCCGTGATGGCGAAGAAGAGAAAAATGCAACTCAGGTGCAGAGATATGGAATGGTGGATGAAGAGAAGACAACTTCCATCGAAATTGAGACAGAGAGTGCGCCATTTTGAACGACAACGGTGGGCTTCCATGGGCGGAGAAGACGAGATGGAGTTGATTAGTGACTTGCCAGAAGGTCTTCGTCGAGACATAAAACGATTTTTATGCCTTGATCTCATAAAGAAGGTACCATCTCATACACACACACAAAATATATCTATCTTTATGCGAGTTTTCTTGGGATTAGTTTTGAAGAACCCTGTCTAACTTCCTTGTGATTATTAGTGACATATGTCTCAACATTATCACCATTTAATCATTTATCATCATTTTTTAACAGTGAAGCCTTTCTAGAAAAGGATTGTGATGAATTCATTAAGCACTGTGTGGGCTCCTTAAAATTTTATATTTTCTTGACATGGCCTCTATTATTCCTTTATGTATTAATTGCAGGTTCCTCTATTCCACAGTTTGGATGACCTCATCCTGGACAACATTTGTGACCGCATTAAGCCTCTAGTGTTCTCGAAAGATGAGAAGGTACAATGCTTCATTTATAAATAGTTTTCAAAAACATGTGAAACAAAATGTTACTCTTAACAAATAATAAATGTATACTCCGTGTACTTCAAGAGTCCACTGGTGTAATAGTTAAAAAATCATACTACGTACGTAATATTACTTTATTATTAAAGTAATGGATTGTGCATTTACTCTATCATTACCCTTGCAAGTACCTGTGATATTCATTCATCTATCAATATTTCCTATACTAAAAAACAGATAATAAGAGAAGGAGATCCAGTGCAACGGATGGTGTTCATAGTCCGAGGACGTGTCAGAAGCAGCCAAAATTTAAGCAAAGGAAAGGTAGCCACAAGCATTCTTGAACCAGGAGGCTTCTTAGGCGATGAACTTCTTTCATGGTGTCTCCGACGTCCCTTCATGGATAGGCTCCCGACGTCTTCTGCCACATTTACATGCATCGAGTCAATCGAAGCATTTGGCCTAGATGCTGACCATATCCGCTTCATCACTGACCACTTCAGGTACAAGTTTGCAAATGAGAAGCTCAAGTGGACAACAAGGTACTATTCTGCGAATTGGAGAACTTGGGCAACCGTTAACATTCAGTTGGCTTGGCGACGTTATAGGATGAGGACAAGAGGTCAACTAATGAATAATGTATTGGAAATCGGAGAAAACAATGATCTACGCCTCCGACAGTATGCTGCAATGTTCTTATCAATCAGGCCTCATGATCACCTTGAGTAGCACCCTATTATAACATATGTGCTACTCGTTTTATTGTCACGTTTTATTTTCAAAGATTTGTTTTTGTGTCATTATGTATAATTTAAAAGCTTTTGAATAAATAAATCATTGTGTAAGGATGTTTTTACTTGGATGGTAATTTGCTGGTCTGGTCTGAACTGGTCCGGTTTGGTCTGAACTGGTCTGGTCTGGTAATGTCTGGGCTCTTTGTATTATTATAACTATCCAAGTCTGGATTGGTCTCGTCTGAGACAAATTACAGTCCAAGTAAAAACACCCTAAGTCAATTTTGATCAAGTTTAATGGGAAGTTCCCATTAAACTTGGTCAAAATTGACTTGCACATAAAATAATAATGTAAAATTGTGGTTGATATTTACGTAGAGGAGAGACCGGAAGTTCCCATTAATAAAATAATATTAGTTACATATTTGTTACTTTTAGTTGAAATTAGGCATGGACCCGATTCGGGCCGCCCGGCCCGCTACTGTGCGGGCCCGGAACCGGCCTGGTTCTCGGGTCCGGGTCGGGCCTAGGCCCAGGGGGGCGGGTCCGGGTCGGGCCTAGGCCCAGGGGGTTGGTCCCGGGTCCGGGCCAAATTAATTTTTTTTTTATTTTCTTTTTCTTTTTTGGGGTTACCCGGGTTGGGCTTGATGGTTAGGAGGAGTTTGGGGGGTTGGGGGGGGGGGGTGAGGGGGGGGGTTAGGAAAGCAAAAAAAAAAAAAAATTGACCAAACCGGAGGCCCGGACCCGGACCAGACCCGATGGCTACCCGGGCCGGTCCCAGGCCTTCCTTCCCAAAAAAAAGCTCGGCTGGCCCCGGCCCGGGTCCATTACTAGTTGAAATGATAGTTTTTTATGAGGGTTTAAAAAGAAAATTTGACCAAATTTTATGGGACGAAGTTTCAAATCCCGAATTCGGAGAAGAAAAACCGCGACTTGCGTGCACGGGCGACCTGTGGACACGAATGTCGTCCAAAAATCCATCTCTCAAGAGATACGGGTAATTTTTCCCAGTTAGCAGAATTGCTCCGGGCAGAAGGCCACGATCAGAATACCTCGCGTTGGTATTCTGGTGTCGGTCTCTGATGGCCTCGATCAGAATACCTCGCGTTGGTATTCTGGTGGCACTTCTAAACCGTTGCAGCAATAAATGCCCAACGTTTATATCTTTTAATGCAGCGTTAAATGGACGATTCAATGCCCAACGGACTGGTCATTGATGTCCAACGTTCAGGTCCATTAATTCACTATTTTCATACAACAAATCCTCCTATATAAAGGCTGGCAGGTGGTTTGCAACAACACACGTTCTTACACGATTTTACACGAATCCATACACGTTTTAGCTCTAAAAACACACTGCTAGCACTCTGAAAATTCCTTCTGTGTTCAGTCTTTGTTCTCGTTCGCTGGAACTTTTGTTTGAGTGCTCAAACACTAGTTCGTTGTCATCGTATCCTGGGAAACTATTGTTGCAACGCTCCTAGCACCGTGGGAGGCAACAAATACGTTTTAAGAACATCGTGCGTAGCACGAGCTTTGACAAATTCTGCTTCATCTCCTTTCTTGTTTTTCTTTCGTCATTTTATTTAATTAATTTACTTTAATTAATTTTCTTTATTTTCCGAAACACACCCAACAGTATAATATAAGCAATATAATACGGAGTAGATCTAAACTCAAAACTAAGAAGTAAAGAATGTGAGCAAGCAACAGTTAAAAAAAAACAGGAATGTGAACAAGCATATAGGTGCAACGTAATTCTACTACTAGTTTAGTATTCCCACACCGGAAAGGAAGAGACGAATCCTCCTCCTGACTACGTATATATTAAGTCATTCATCTATGATTCAAATTGCCAAGTAAATGTTACTCCCTCCGTCCCGCTAAGATTGTCTTATTTTACTTTTTCGAGAAGTCCCACTAAAATTGTCTCATACCAAATTTGGTAAAGATTGTGTCGCTCAAAACCATTCTTACTTTATTCTTACTTTATCAATTTAATATCAACCACACAAACTCACTTTTCTTAATAATCGTGTCACTTTCTTCCGTCCCAATTTTCTTAATAATCGTGCCACCTTCTTCCGTCCCAATCTTAGTGGGACGGAGGTAGTACGTTGCTACGCTGTGCACGTGGACTAAATATGGCCCAACAGGCCTTAGTTAAGTTTATTTTTTCCGGATTTTAAAGGCTTAACACGCCTTTTAGCACGCCTCAAGGCTGTGCGGGGCGTTTGTTGTGCGCCTTGCGCAGTGGCCCGCCTATGCGCCGCCTAATAAGGCCTTTTAGAACACTGAAGGTATCTAATAAAGTGTATTGTGCCAAGTGTCTAACTAAATTTTTTTAACTTTTTTTAATCTGAGCGAAGCCATGACCAATTCATTCTTACCCCGTTTGAGAGAAACATCTTTACAATTGAGAAAATTTCCTGAAATAGAAATAGAACTATTATGAATTCTAAAATAAAATTATTATTTTTATTCAAAAAAGGATGTGATCCTCGCATTCACCCTTAAATCGTACCGTTGCATTTTAAATTTAAAACATTATCAAAATAATATGATAATGTTTGACAATATGTTTGGTAATATTGGTAATGGAGTTTTTCTTCCGAATTGGAGGCTGTTTTCCTAATTCCTAGTTCTTTCCTCAAAGGTCATGGATTTGAATTGGGAGAGGAAAAAACAGAACTCTAGAGGTCATGTGGGAGCCGGGTATTATGGGGTTGTTTGGGTATTGCATTTTCTATCCAAAATGCCAACTTTTTAAAGGGGAAAACGCTGCTTATAGCAGCCTGTTGGAGTATAAACCGCCAACAATCAAACTATCCCTATGGCTTTGAGAGGCCATTTTGCGGACGAGGGGTAATTCAGGGAAATAATAAAGATGTTTAGGAATAAAACTAGCTTAATAGTTGGATTTTTTTACAAAAAAAAACCCTAGAAGCAGATAAAAATATGTACCCCTCTGTCCCGCTATGATTGTCTTATTTTTTCTTTTCGATTCGTCCCATTAAAATTGTCATATACCAAATTTGGTGAAACTTGTGTGATTCTAAATCATTTATTCTTTATTCTTACTTTATCAATTCAATATCGACCATATAATCTCATTTTCTTAATTATTGTATCATCTCATAATGTCTCAATGTTAGTGAAAGGGATGTAGTATATCCCAGCTTGCAACTTTTAGCTTAAAGTTGGTTCAAATAGGTACAAGTTTCAATTTAAAAACAACACCATTTTTAGCTTTTTGGAAGCTATATATAAGTAAATAAGTGTTTTCAAGCATTGCCAAAAACAATCTTAAAAAACATGAACTTTATAGAAAAACCTAAAATTTTCAATTTTAATAATTGATTTTAATTGTAATTTAAGTAAATTTCAATTGAGGATATTTTAGTGTGTCAATCATACACTAATAAAGTAGATTTAGGGGCGGGGGTTACGTTCGACGACAAATAGAATGTGACTATGTTGATCACTAACAGAAGAGATCTTAATTAATGAAATAGATAAGACTGGATCTAATTTTAACATCAAAGTCATTAAAAAGAATTATTGTACTTCTTTTACTTTATCCTAAGTTGAGATTAATTAATCGCTAAGGATTTGAATGGTATCATTTCAGTCTTGTCCACAAATCCTTAAGTTGAAATTTGTTGGGTACATGTGACCAACTCTTAGCATTGGCACAATACTGCCTTTTAATCCACTTTAATAAAGCAACTTGCACATGTGCTACTAGATAAAGGTAAGAAGATCTCAATACTTTTGTTGCACTCTAATCTAAAATTATTATTTCAAAAAGTGTATTACTTTCTCTGTCCCGCTAAATTTGTTCCAGACACTACTCACTTGATCAATGTACACAAATCACTCTTAATCTCTTACTTTATATATTAAAATTTTATCAAATTTGATTCTGCTTTTTGCGACTTTGTAAAGTTTTTAATGTAGTTTCTGAATATGTAATTTTTTTCTAAAAATAATTTTAGTACGGAAAGAGATCTTTTTGGTTTATCATCAATCAAACATCATAAACAGAATTATCCCAAACTTAGTGGGACGGAGGTAGTTTAATCAAACATGGTAAACCGAATTGGCTAATGGGGCTTTTTCAGGTCTCTTTCACGGGAAAAATTGGAGATGGATCTCCTTCGTCATCTAATCCAATAATAATAAAGGCGTCGACCAAAAACGAATTCAACTGATTAAATTGAATGCAACTAAAATGAAGTTTTGACTAAAACTCTTCCGGATAAATCGGTTATTCTGATTCAAATTAATTTTTCTTCTTCTATATTAGGGAGTATTACATTATTATTTCACGTGCTACTGAGAATTGGTTAACTTTTATAGAATGGTGGGAATATTTACAAGTTTTTATATATAAGGGCATCCTCATCCATTAGATTATTTAAGGTATAATTGAATGGTGTGGAAGATTATTTGTAAGATTATCATTGTGAGTGAGAGCTTATTAAGGGAGATTATTGAAAAAGAAAATACGGTTATACGGTAGCAAGATTTGAATCCCGGTATCATTAGATTAGTAACGAATTATTAAGGGAATTGTTTTTTCGGAGTAGTTAAATTGCATTTAATGCATGGTCTAGAAAAAAAACTAATTATTTGAGATTTGAGATTATTTGAGATGTGACAAACCAAGCATTCCAGCCCAACTGGTTCTGAGGTTATCGAGCCTAGTGGGAGGTCTCGAGTTCGAAACCCGCTAGGCACATAAGGGGTTGAAACTCATTCCAGGCCCCCAACCCCCCTCCCCCAGACACTCCCTGGAATAAAAAAAAGTTATGTAACAATGATGTGTAATAGAAAAACCATTTATTTTAAGATTGCTCTAAAATAATATGAGAAACACGCTCTCTGCATGTATTAATTTGCAATTGCAAAGTTTCAACGACATTTAAGAATTAGATAATAGATACTCCGTAAACATTAATGGGGCAGAGTCCGCAGAGATGAAAAAACTAGTGCGAAAACGAATATGAAGTTGTAGGAAAATAAGGATAGTTATGTATTTGTAATATATACTCCTCCGTAAGGAACTAACCAAAATACGAAAATGCTCCAAATAATAAAATATTTTGGAAAAGGAATATGCGAGAGGTAAATAATTAGGGATAGTTATTTTAAGAAATCTCAACTAAGAATTAATCTAATTTTGTTTGTCACTATATTAACCAAGTCAGCTCATGCAATTAAAAGTAAGTTTATTATACAAATCTAACAAGTTGAAAAGTATGACAATAAATTAAATGGTCACTAAATTAATTAAACCTCCAAATCACGTTTCTGAAAACACATTTTTATCACTGAATTCATATTGTTCTGTTAAGATAGAAGTGAATAAATCATTTCAAACCAAACAATTTAGAGACAAAAAACGTGCTTGCACAAAATGTGAATTTGTTTTAATTAAGCAAATGGCCGACATTCATGACTTCACGAGCTAGGCTTTGGAGAAAAAGATGAAGATCACAAAAGCAAATGAGATCGAATTGTTCATTAAAAGAGAGCTTTGAATTAACTCAGTAACTTTATTCGTAAGAGCAATCAACATTGGAGAATGATTTAAATAATTGTAACGCCTTCCGTATTTATTTTTTATTTTTTGACCGTAAAAACAAACCGCTTATATTAATATTATTAGAAATCGGATCGTTACACTAAACTAAAAAAGACCACCCCTCACAAGTCACAACAATTATCTCTAACCAACTAACACTATCAACCCTACGGCTAGACTCAGAGACGATCACCTCTAAAAGAGCTATACGAATCGCTAACCATCAAGTGGGTGTGACTCAACAATCACTGACCATATAGATCCTTCTAACGACATAATATCTAGCAAAACTGTCAATCATAATTGTAGACCTAAAACTAAAGACATCAACAAAAAACAGAGCAACATAAAACATAACGCGAAAATAAAACCATAAAAAATTAAATAACGAATAAATCTTCCAAACCCAAGCACCTCGATTGCTCAGCCCTTCACCTCTCCCCGTCTTCTCGTCGCCCATTCCGCCTCCACTACCACCACCGCCCTCTACCCATGTTGATTCGCCAGAAACTAACCCTTTGACCTCCTCCTCAATTGCAGGAATGAGACAATACTGCTTTAGATCATCCATAGAAGAGATGATTATCGTTTCTTGAACCTTGGATTCATTTCCAAATGCTGCAACCGCACTCACGCCTTCTTAAAAAGCACTCTAGAAGCCTGGAGATCGAATAAGAGCCGCACAAACAATTGGCGGAAGTAAACCTGGCCTTACGCGACGGCAAAGCCGCTAGGGAGATAAAACCGTACGCGACGCTAAGCCGCTAGGGAGAAAACTGACAAGTTGCTCCTCTTTTTCACCTGGAGCTTTATCAATGATCATTACACCAACTTTTACTTTTTAAACTCATTTTTTTAAACGCTACACTCCGTATTTAGTTGTTTAATTAAAACAAATGAGAGTTATTTAGAAATGAGATATTTAAGAAACATGCGTACGTAACCAAGAAAATCTATTTTCTTATCATAAGAAATAGACCAATTATTATTATGATTATTGGTTTCTGTTCGGTGAATCATTATAATGTATACTGTTTAATGCTACACACTGTATGTGGTTAAGATTTGTTTAGAGGTGAGAGAAATGACAAGTGTCAAAAATTGATTAATTAGAAGAGAAAATGATAAAATTTGGACAACAAAAAAGGAAAGAGATAAATCACTTGGTACGTTGCAATTGATCTGCTTCCGGCTAAAGAAAAAGGAGAAAGAGGGAGCAATGCAAGTTATTTAACTGAAATCAAATATAATTCCCAGCCACCGCCTTTAATTTCCACTGAAATACGTAGTACATAGTACGTAGTATATACTCCATCCGTCCCAATTTGATGATCGCATTTCTTTTGGGCTCAAAGATTAAAAAAGTGGTTGAAAAGGTAAAAGTTGTGGTTGAGATTTGAGTAGAAAAAGGTGAAATGATGTGGATCACATATTTCTTTTCAAAAAGGGAAATGAGACTATCAATTTGGGACGGCCCAGAAAGGAAATACGGGATCATCAAATTGGGACGGAAGAAGTATCATTTTCGAACAAAAGTTTTGGTCCAATAAATATTCAAGGTCGACAATTGCTGTAACTATGAGAAAAGCTTGATTTTAAAGTTGGATCGAATGACGAGTAACCCAAAGAAAACTTTATAAGAATAGAATTGTTCTCATCTTCTATTCTTCTAATATGGATATTTTTATCAGACTGCGTAGTATTTTACTGTTTCATATTTCAATTTCAATTTTAACCTTACCACTTGACCAAAATTGTATACTTGGATTGGAATCTTTGAGGTCTGATCTAAATCATCCATCATGATCAAATCTCATCAAATCTGATGCTTATTTACTAAACTGAATATTTCTTTTATTTTAAGTGTTTTTCAAAATCAATGTTATAACAATGAACATATGTGTTAAGATCTGGAGTTTCATTCTAAAAGGCTAACCATATTTTAATATAACACTTCATTCCTTCACAAATTTCCGGTGTGGGAATTCAACACCACTCCTCATGATCAGGGGCGGAACTACCCTAGGGCTAGGGGGTGCCCTGGCCCCTGCAATGAATTTTTTTTTTAAATATATATATATATATATTAATTTTTATTAAGTAGTGCCCCTGCAGGCTGCAGCCCGATTCCCCCTTTCCCAGTTCCCACTTCTGCCTGGCCCAATGTATTCCCTATTTCCCACTTCCCAGGAGCCCAAATCCTCAAAGCCTCAACAGCCCAATCCCCCCTTTCCCTTTGAGTTTGTTCGGCAGTTCACTCAAGTCAGCAGCAGCCCCGCATCCGTCAAGCAAGAAGCGACTGAACCTACTCAACTCTCAAGCGAGTGAGCGACTGAAGCCCGAAGGAACTCCCAGCGGGTCAGCGACGGCCGACGCCCAACTGCCCAAGTCTCGATGGTCGATGGAGACTGAGTGACTGTCCTCGTTCGCCACTGGTTCCCGAGTTGCCGCCTTGCCGGTATGTTTTAATTTATCTTTTCTTTTGACGGTATATTTTAATTGTTGATGAATAATGAATGATTTATGCTTCATTGCTTTGTAAATTGTATATTTGTATTGTATATTAGAACCACGGTGCTTCATTTGTAACTTGTAACTTGTAAGATTGACCAACTAGACATTCATTTTGAAGTTTGGTTCAACTTTCAAGACATAAGTGGATTTAGTTGAATCTCTTAATTTTTTAAAAATTGTTGTGTCTAACATGGTTGAATTATTTGAACTTTTAATTATAATTTAATTTATACAATTATACAAATTATACTCATTTTATTTCAATTGTAGTTGGTCTAGGTTGTTTGACAACCAATCGCTATGTTACGATATTATCCGGTCGTTCCGCCAAAACCAAAACAGCCTAGTATTGACGTTTCTTCATCGAATAATTTAGTTTCTTCATCGGAAAATGTCATTCCTAACAATGAGACTAATGTTAAAAAAGCTCGAATAGAGGTTGAATTGTCGGATGATGACATTGTTGGTGATCCTGGATTGCGTAAGCCGATTGAGACTTATGATGTTAATATTAGAGACAAGTTGAGGAGACGTTATTTGACAAAAGGTCCTTGCCAACCGCGCGACTTTAAATTCCCACAAAGTGATTTTAATGGGCGCAACAGATCATTCCAAAAACAGTGGTTTGATGAATTTAATTGGTTGGAGTATAGTGTTGCTAAAGATGCAGCATTTAACCATTTGTGTTATTTGTTTGGTAGACATCATAAAAATGGGGATGATGCTTTTACTGAAGTTGGGTTTAATAACTGGAGGAAAGCTAAGGAAAAATTCCGTGACCACGAAGGAACTCCAGAAAGCATGCATCATTATGCAAAAATTAAATGGTCTGGGTTTCAAAACCAAAAACAAAATGTGGATTATGTTTTATCTCAACAAACCAAGAAAGATGAGCTTGAGTATCGGTTGAGATTAACAACTATTGTTGATGTAGTTCGATTCCTTTTAGAGGGTGGTTTGGCTTTTCGAGGTCACAATGAATCAGCTACTTCTACGCATTCTGGTAAATACGGTTTACATTATTTACATTATTTTTTATTATTTATTTCATTATAAAATTGTAATGGCTATTGCATTATTTATATTTACAGGTAACTTTCTTGAACTCTTGAAATGGGAGTGTAGACGGCATCCACATATCAATATGGTAATGAACTCAAATGCTCCTGGGAATAGTCTACTAACCTCTCCTAAAATTCAAAAGGAGGTTATTAATGCTTGTGCAACTGAGGTAAGACTAGCTATTATTAATGAGGTTGGTAGCAAGTTTTTCTCTTTGTTGATTGATGAGGCTCGGGATAGTTCCATAAAAGAGCAAATGTCTGTGGTTATAAGGTTTGTTAACAATTGTGGGGAGGTAATTGAGCGATTTTTGGGAGTGGTGCATGTTAGTAACACTTGTGCGCAGACATTGAAAAATGCCATTGATGATTTCTTTGCAAAATATGGTCTTTCGTTGTCTAAGGTTCGAGGCCAAGGTTATGATGGGGCTTCCAATATGAGCGGTGCAATTAATGGCTTAAAACAAAAAATATTGGAGGAAAATAAGCAAGCTCATTATGTTCATTGTTTTGCTCATCGCCTTCAGTTAGTGATTGTGTCCTCTTTGAAGAGCAATGGAATAATTGGTAGTTTTTTTGATCATCTTTTAATGATTGTAAATGTGGTTGGTGCATCATGTAAGAGAAAAGATGATCTTTTACAAAAACATTATGAAGATCTTGTAGGCCGTATAGAACGTGGTGAGGTTAGCACGGGCAAGGGGAAAAATCAAGAAAAAAGTCTAGCACGGCCAGGTGATACTCGTTGGGGCTCCCATTATAAAACAATCATTAGAGTTGTTGATATGTGGGATGCGGTCATTGAGGTGCTTGAAGCTATATTTGATGATGGTGTTGATCTCAAAAGTAAGTCCACTTCTTCCAGTTTGATTGAAAAAATGGCATCCTATGATTTTGTGTTCATTGCACATTTCATGTTGCATTTATTGGGAAAAACTAATGTGCTATCAAAGGAATTGCAACAAAAAAATCAAAACATAGGCAATGTTGTTGATCTTGTCAAGGCCGTGAAGTCCGATTTGGAGAAATATAGGAATGATTATGGTTGGGATTTGTTGATTAAAGAAGTGGCTACATTTTGTTCAAAGCATGATATAAATGTACCTAATATGATGGATGTCAAGCCAGGACGAGTGAAAAGGCAGAAGACAGTTGATGGTAGTCCGAAGACTTATTTACACTATTTTCATGTTGACATTTTTCTCGAGGTACTTTTAAGAGTTTTATTCTTTACTTAATTGTATTTAAATATATTTATTTTGTTATTGTAATTAATTATGTTTTTTAATATAATGTTAGGTTATTGATCGTCTTACTCAAGAGATGAATAATCGTTTTACCGAGACAAGTTCGGAGCTATTAATGTGCATAGCATCGTTGAGTCCCAAAGACTCGTTCTCCAATTTTGATGTGAAGCGACTACTTCGTCTTGCCGAATTATACCCAGATGATTTTAGTTCAAGAGACAAATTTGAACTAAATGAACAACTTAGGGTGTTCATTACATTTGTCAAATCATCTCCACAGTTTTTAGGCCTACAAACTATTGGAGATTTGGCAAAAACATTGGTTGGAACAGAGTGGCACACAACTTATAAGTTAGTGTACCGACTCATTCAATTGGCATTGGTTTTACCTGTTACAACCGCCACAGTTGAAAGATCTTTCTCGACGATGAAGTATATCAAGAATGATTTGCGCAACAAGATTGGAGAAGAATACTTGACAGATTGCTTGGTGTGCTACATTGAAAAAGATATATTTGTTAAAATTGATAATGAAGTCATTATGAGGCGATTTCAAAGTATGGCACCTCGAAGACAAAGATTGCCGCCTCTCAATGATTCTCCTTCGGTTGACGCGTCATGTTCTAATCAAAATTAAGGTACTGTTTAAGCAATTACTTTTATAGTTTTTTTTTTTGCTTTATTCATGATGCATATGATTTTTTTAGAGTAGTATATAGTTTCTTTGTTATTGTGCCCCTGCGAGCCACAAATCCTGGTTCCGCCACTGCTCATGATTAGACACCATCTAAATCATGTCATCATTCATTTCTTCATCAATTCATTATTGTTATTTTTTATAACTGTGTCATTTTTTCATAAGGAGGCCCACACCATGGACGGATTTGGCTCCGATACCATGTTAAGATCTGGGGTTCCATTCTAAAAGATCAACCTGATAGGAGGAGTAATCCAGATCTTAATATAGCACTTCATTCCTTCACAAGTTTCGGGTGTGGGAATTCAACAGCATGGGGCGGCAATAGGAAAATTCTCACGGACTGAGAGGAAGGCATAGCAGGAGTTTGAGAGTGTCGGTCAGACAAAGTTCTTCCTTGTAACTCAATCCCGACAAGATCCAATTAGGGTTGTGCGACTGGAGGTCAAGATGATGGCGATTGGCATTTGGCGGCGCATTTTTTTGTGGCGAAAGTGGAGGCTTGACAGAGAATACGATGAATAAGAGGTAAGGTGATCGAGGAAGAAGTTACAGTTTTGCTGGCTCGCCCCCATCCTAAACCGCCTCCGTAGAGTGCAAGAGAATCTAGCATTTGAAAGAAAATGAGTGAACTCTATGGCTCGCCTAGCACAAAGATGAGGATCTTGAAGGCGCTACATGAAGAAGGCGGAGCGGGGGGGGGGGGGGGGGGGGGGGCTCCATCAGTTTAATTACCTGCTTTAATTTCTTTTTATTTAATTTAAGTTTTTGTAATTAAGTACTCTGTTGTTAGCGTTATCATTGTCTTTGGGGGAAGTAGGTTTATCTATTGCTTTTTTGGCGAGTTATTATTTTGTTTGGAAGCAATCAGGTCGTGTTGACCGATAATAGCTTCGAAGTTCTTGCATGTTTAACGATTAGTCACGCTTAATTTTGGGTGCTCTATTCTATCACTACAAGAATTCACGCGATTTAGTGGCGGAATATCCGTCGCTAATTCCGCCACATAAACCCTTAGTGACGGAAATCACTGACGGATCGTCCACTAGTAAATTCTTGAAATTATTTTGTTTTGTGGTGGATTTTCGAATCCATCAGTGATTAGAAGCGGACTTTTGTGGCGGATGGATCCGCCAACAACTTCAGTTGCAGAATATTTGTCACTATATATTGGCCGAAAGCAATTAATTTGTATTTACAAAAAAAATATACTTCATTTATGATTTGCTCTTAATTCAATTATTACTCGTATTATTTTATGACTACCACAAAACAGTTCAGAGTAATTTATCAAATCAAAGCATGAAAACATAAATTTGAACCATTAAATATAATTAAAATCAAATATTACCAAAAAATAATACTCCGTATATTACTCCGTAATAGCTTAGAGTTTACATTAGAATCCAGGTCATTATTAAAGCCTCAACCATGCTAAATCCAAAAAAGCGTGCAAGTCACTATAAGTATCTAGTGTTACATATCAAATCCAAAAAACATACATATCATCACATTAACGTGGTTTAAAATGTTAAAGCCATTTCAAAATTAAAGCTATACATCTAATTGGATAAAGAGTCTTCATGTGACTGTTGAGAGCCTTGAGAGGATAAATCTTGTTGTGAAAAGAAGTTCGGGCATCAATTCCATGTGATTTGAAAAACGGAAGCCATGTTTCTTCAAAACTCTTAGGTTGTAACTTGGGATTCTCATTTGTCAAACTTTCATCCACGAGAGGCATAAGCGGTGGAGCCTCGTGACCATGTGAAGACAACCATTGTCTCATTTGCTCATCCCAAGCAACACAAAAATCATGCAAGCGTTTTGACGAACACCCTTTATGATTTGACTCTAATTGGAGAACAAACGCTTTGGTATACCTTCCCGTTACCAAAACCCATTTCTTATTGCACCCAACCACTTCAAAATACTTGAAGTGCAATTCAGACATTACAACTTTTTGATGCCCTAGAAATTTTAACTTCTGGTGTTTGATGTTGACTTTCAGCTTCATGGAATGTAGCAGACAGCTTCCTAATAACCTCATGTGCAAACAAAATGATGCAATTCACTCAAACATTTGATACTCTAATATAAAAAAATCTGTGGAATACATGGTCTACTGCACCTACTAAGATCACCTTGTGATCCGTCAACGTCACAATCAGACACAAAAACTTCAAATTTCAAATACTACAAAATTGAAAAGAAAACACTGCCATTTTTTTACAACAACGACACAACTCACAATTGCTCAGAAAATCTCAAAAAATGTTTACAGATTTAATACCATAAACTACGTGGAAAGTGGTGATCTAAAACAATCTTGATCTCAATTCTTACATAAATAAAGTTACCAAATAGAGTAATTATCCAAAAAATATCCGAACAAGTTAAAAATAATCAAACACATATCAAATCCATATCAATGCGTTTGAGCAAATTGGATAGTAGCAAGAGGGGAAGCACGGAGATAACGTAACTAAGCAAATCAAATCCTCATAATCAGTTGAATTCGCAATTAGAAAACAGTGCAAGTATATACAATGCATTTACACACTCAAAGTAGGGGTTAAAATCACAAAAAAAACAGTCGTTATATATAATGCATGTACACACTCAATACACAGGCTAAAAACAGAAAACACTACCCGTATATACAATGCATTTACACACTTAATAGCAGCCTAAAAACATAAAACACAGCTCATATATGTACAATATATTTACACACTCAATAAGGGGCTAAAACATAAGACATTGCCCGTATTATATGGCCAGATAAACAGAAAATAGAAAACACTCAGTGCAAGTGCTAAAACAAAAAATATTGCTTGTATATACAATGCATTTACACACTTAATGCAGAGGCTAAAAATAGAAAACACAACCCATATATACAATACACTTAAACACTCAATGAGGGTCTAAAAACAGAAAATATTGCATGTATTATATGACCAGATAAAGGATTGAAAGCTTCATATACATATTTTGTCTAAAGCACTTGTTTTTTAGCTACTTAAATATTCAACATTTTCTCAAGCTACAATAACATTCAAATACGAAGAATTCATTTCAAAATAGAGAGCCAAAAAGCGGAAAAGTAATTACATATCATAACTTCCGGTTGTGATGAATAATCGATTAACACTCCATTCTTCCTTTTCTTTGGATGGAAGGTCTCACAATGTTTCACATGATTTATATGTTCACCGGTAATCCTCAACCAAAACAAAATGCAAAACCATCATCCAATGAAGCAACTAAAATTTGAGACATATATAAAAATAAATTTAATATTCACCTCTTGGCCTGCCACATCAAATGCAGCCTGAGAACTTCCATATTGTTTACACTTGTCCCCACAGGCAATACGATTCCTCTTACCAGAAATAGATGTCGTCTGAAATTGCTTAGATCTCTTATATTCTTCAACAGCATCCCAAGTGAAGTCATTCATTGTTGGAGACTGTTTTCCCCTTCAATGTGTAATAAGAATATACCATTAAATTCCAAGTTAATTAAATAAATTGAATAGTAAAAATAAATAGCATTCATTGTGCTCATCACCTGATATCACTCATGATATTGGAGTAAGCACGACTCTGTATATACTTTTCATAACCTTTCTTGATGTCTTCAAGTTTGAACTGAGAAATATTCCAAAGTGACAACATCTTATATACAATCAAAAGAAAACTATCAGATAATTAAGCCCTCCTACTATAGTCAAAATTGCAATTAAGCCCTTGTACCTAAATATGACCAAATCAAACACCTCAACTTTTAAAAAAAAATCTCAAATAAGATTTTTAACCGGTAAACCATAAGTTTCCGGTCAGTTTGTTTATGTGGTATCTACGTGGCTTCTCTGTCAATTACATCCTTATTCGGCCCCACCACCCATGACTCTTGCAGCCAACGTAGACCAAGTCTCCTACTTCCGAACTAGCATTTGCAATTGAGAACAGAGCCAATCATCTTCCATGGTGGATGAAGTTTAATTGGGTTTCCTTCACGAAAAACAATTGTGTTACTAATTTCCTCCACATCATCATTCCTGAGCTTGTCGGGAGTTGGAGAAGACATCCCCTTCTTCAATATTTTCTTCTATCTTGGAGCTTAATAGAGTAGATCTCAAATAAAGGAGTTAGATGGGTGGCTTGGTGTATATATCCCCGTCGGGGAGCACAACAGCTTGGGCCCAATAACCTTCGCCTTTGTTTTCCGGTAACTTTTTGCAGTTGCTGCGGGTCTCCTCTCCCGCTTTTCTCGATGTCACTGCGTATGACCTCTTGCCGGAATCTGGCATTTGAGGGTGAGCAAGAAGAATAAAGCTAATGCACGGTAACGCGATTGATGTGTTGTTCGGTGTGTGTAATGTGTTCTAACGGTGGACTTTGAAAAACGCAAAAGAATTTAGCAAATCTTCCGGTGATGAACAAGGATGTTGGCATTGATTCATTTGTATTAAAATTAATATATCTTGTGTGGATTATTAGTCCATATGTAGTGCCACATGTACATATTAGCATATCAACATGTTTACTACCGGTTAAAAATCTTATTTGAGTGTATTGTAAGAGTTGAGGTGTTTGATACGATTGAGTGATATTTGGGTACGAGGGCTTAATTGCGATTTGACTATAGTACGAGGGCTTATCTGATAGTTTTCCCTACAATCAAACCTTCAATCTTAAGTATCAAACTGTATATTTATTAGTTTTCAGTTAGGATTCATTTTTATAAGAGGTATTAATTGTTTTAAAGAATTCCGTTTATAAAGTCCATATTAATTTAAAGAGTTCAGTTTATAATGACCATAAAGTTCAAAGAATTCAGTTTATAAAGTCCTTATTAGTTTAAAGAAATCAGTTTATGTATTGTTTTAATAACTGTTAATGGAGTTCTTATTGTCAAAAGTTAAGAAAACACGTACTATAGGAAAAACAACACATATTACTCACATGTACCTGGCCTGGAATTGTTCCCAATATAACTTTTTAATTCTTTTAGGGACTCATTTCCATTGTTGTCCAGCTAGATGAAGATTATACTTGATCTATTTTGAGACATTTGCTTGAAAATTTAGACTGGTTTTGGTAAGAGATACGTTGATTAGGCTACATATAAAGTATACATTATTTATCAGTGATTGTATAGTAACATTAAAGAATTATGTATACACATAAATAATAGTTAATATTACACTTACTTTCCTTGGCATTTACACCGACATTGGGTGTTTCAAATTTCGCCGCCGAAAGAGATCTGATAGGGTCTAATGGATCTTCACCCCAATTAAGATGACCGTACACGTTGGGTTTCCAATCAATGAGCTCAGTTTCTACATCTACATTGTCTTCTACATCATCTTGGTGTTGCGGTTCAGAAAATGTTTGAGTGGCTTGTTGGTGGTTTCGAGATTGAGAAATAATCGATTGCTTGTTATTTAATGGTATGCCATTCTGCCTAAGGCCCCAAAATACAGTATATTGTGTAGGAGGTGGTTATGGAGGCTGCCTTAGCTTGTTTGCCCTATTTTTTTTTGGAAAAAACAATTTTATTCATATAAAATAAGAGTACAGTGCAAGAAAACAAATAAAAGTAAAAAAGTACATAGAAGAAAAGAACGAGTAAAAAAAATAAAGAAAGGAAAAAAACTAGACCGAAGGAAAATCTCTGGATTGCGATCTAGTCCTCATGCTGTGTCACCTTTTGTTTTTCTGAGATTTCCTGTAAAGTTTCAGTTGGGTGTTCAGGTTGTCTGTTGGCACAAAATTTTCTGAGGTGACAAGCATTGATTTGCGGCAAATCGATCTGTTGAATTTGGAGTTCACAATTTCTTCCTGATTTGATAAGGGAGGACGACGATCGCTTTCTCTAGCATGTCCTAGAAAATCGTCTGAGAAGAAAGAGTCATCAGAATGATCAAAGTTGTCTGATGCATTAAAGTAGGCCTGAATAAGTGGTGTTTGTGGTTGTTTCTCAAAAGAGAGGAGTTGGTTCTTCTCACCAAAGGCTCTCTGAACTTCATAGTTAAATATTACGGAGTAGTTTAGAGATGGTTATTGTAACACTTGAGATTTAATATAAATGGATTAATAGTACTACTCATACCAACAGAGGTGCATCTCCTTTTAAGGGAGCTCATTACCTAAGAACTCCAAAGTTAAGCGTGCTTGCTCGGGAGTAGTCTTGGGATGGGTGACCCCCCTGGGAAGTTTCTCAGGGCGCGCATGAGTGAGGACAAAGTGCGCGGTAAAGGCTCGTGGTGGTTTGTGGGGACAGTACTATTGGTCCGGAGTAACTACCTCGGGTCCGGTGGGGCCGGGGTGTTACAGGTGGTGTCTAATAAAGAACATTTTCATATTATCAATATTTCTGTATATAAATATATAATTGGTTAAAATTCGATATCATTGACTCGAAATGTCAAGTTTAACTAACTAAAATGAGACGGAAGAAGTACATATTTGTAATATGCAAGCAAGTGAATGAATGAAGTAAAAACAAATTAAATAAGTTCGTGTTGTACTAGTAACATATACTAATAAATAATCACGTCGATTATATACTTGTATTTTGGGAAAACTGTCAAATAGGTCCTCGAACTTTCATAAAAAAATCAATTAAGTCCTTCTATAGGAGACTCTGTCCGGTCGTCGCGATTTGGGACGGTTTCCGGTAGAATTTTTTGATGAAATTTTTTGAGCATCTTATTCATCAAGTCTTGTTTACACATACAAAATTTCAGCTAAAAATTCAATCGGGAGTGCATTCAAATTAATTCGAGAATGCAAAAATGCGCAGTTATCTTCAAGAATTAATTTGAATGTGTCCCCGATTGAATTTTTAGCTGAAATTTGGTATGAGTAAACTAGACTTGGTGAATAAGATGCTAAAAAAATGTCATCAAAAAATTCCACCAGGAACTGTCCCAAATCCCGACGGCCGGACAGAACCTCCTATAAAAGGACTTAATTGACCTTTTTATGAAAGTTCGAGGACCTATTTGACTGTTATCCCTTGTATTTTCACACATTTATAATCTAACTTTTCCAGTGTACATTACATTCCGCGGTTTCCGCCACGTACTCAGCACAGTGATATTTGTGTGCACATGACTATTGTTAAAGTGCCGTTTCCAACAATTTCGTCTTTTCATATATTGGGCCTAACCACTGGTCCACCCCACTCTTTTTGTAGGGCTCGTGGAAATTGGCATGGAATCTCCACCTACTACTAAGCTAGTGCGTATTAATAGGTGCCGAGCTAGTGCACTCGGCGGCCTGTAAAGGTTTTTTTAGGTAAAAAATTTACACGGAATATTTTATACAAAAAATATAGACATTTTTAAACAAATGGCGCAACTCCTGGCAAGTAGCAAACTGCAGGCCCTTCTCGCAAGTCACCTTTCTCCTACCCTGTGTTGTGGAAAAGACGACCTCTGATCTCTTCCAGGATCCCAAGTTCAAAGGACTCTTATACATTCACTTACACCCTCGTAACACAAATATTCAATCTAACAACATCACTTTGTATTATACAATTGAAATGTACAAGAGATATTTTACAAGTAAACAGGTAGCTCACATCACTCTTTGTATATGAGACTACTTCACTCTTACACTCATCTACCAAGGAAACACTCACTCGCTCAAGAGCTCTCCTCAAGGCTCTCTCTCATCACTTTAGGAGGCTCTCACAAGGCCCTATCTAGGCTCACTCACAAAGCTCTCACACAAGAATGAGGAGTCTTATCCCTATTTATACTACTCTCCTCAAAACTTCTCTAGAACTTTCTATACATCACTACACTTCTAGATTCTTCCTAGAAGTGTTCACAAGCTTCTCTAATCTTCTAGGAGGATCTAGAGAACTCCACACTGATTCAGAATGTTCTAGAGGCTTCGACACATACACTTCCGCACGATCCTAGACAATTCCACACTTAACTAGAAAACCCTACAATATTCTAGAATGTTTTATACTCTTCAACACGCTCCTAGATAATTCCACGACTCTCTAAAAAGCTTTAGAACATTCTAGAACATTCATCTTCACATCTTTAGAGAATTCTAGGCATCTTTACAAAATTTTAGAATTCTCACGAACTTCTCAATTAAGGAGGGAACCCAATACCCTGCTCACCGAATGGCACTGTCGTCCCGTCTGCCCCGTGCTCCGCCTCCATCAGTCCGCCTAGTAGTCCTCTCCGTCTTCGGCAATCCGCAAATGGCAATCGGCTCTTCGCATTGCCTGGGCAGACGCATATTCTCAATAATCGCAAGTACTCTAAATATATGATGAAACCAAGTGGCTAGTGCCTTAGTGCCTTAGTGGCGTAGTGCGGTAGACAGGTAGTGCTAAATTAGCCTAACAGGGGTTAATCGTTTTTTATTGATTTACTACATATTTACTTTTTATTAATAATAATTATGATTTCAAATACTCCCCCGTCCCAAATTGTTTTGTAAAGTCAACATTTTTTGGTCAACCAATAATAAAAGTCAATCCTCCCTATCGATAATTAATTCAATTTTTAATAATTAAAATTTACATATTTAGAAACTACATTGAAATCTCTTCAAAGTTGCAAACTTCAAATTAGAAAATAATTAAAAATTGTCATCCTAATTAAGCGAATAAAATGAAACAGTTTGACCAAGAAAAGTCCAAATTGCAAATCAATTTGGAACGGAGGTAGTATTTAATAATTTATTAATTTATGAATTCTGATTTCAGAATTTTAGGTCATCAGATTTTTACGAGTCTACTATTTTATGTGATTTTAGTTTTATTCATATATGAGGCCTTAATTTGATAATCTCTTTGTCCTGTAAAATAATTCACGGTTTGTAGACTTGGATCATAATTTAAGAAGATGAGAATAAAGTGAAAATGTTTAATTATGATTGAGTAAGAATAATGTAAATGAAAGTTAACTACACAAAACATTTCAAAAAAGAAAATGAAAACATTTTTTTGGAATAGATCAGAAAGGAAAGTGAAAACAATTTTGGGAACAGAGGAAGGAAGTATTTGAAAGGGAGCCTCCAAATCCATTAAAGGTAATTAGAGGTAATTAGAGGCTGCGTGGCTTAAACTTAATCGTCCCATGTTGTGGGATATAAGTCGGCCATTTAGGGTACGATGATGATGTAGATATATGCATGTCGCCTCCACCAACGTACGAAGTATCTTTTCTGCATGTGATTGCGTGCGTGGTGCTTAACTGCCACCACTTTTCTTTTCAATAAAAAAGAAATACAAAGAAAAAAAAAACTATTTGTGTTCCCATGTTTTCGAGCCCGCTTAGTAGCACCAAAATCGACTGATTTAGTTGATTCTGTTAAAATTTATAAAATTCTGGCTAAAGTGGCTGCATTGGCCGATTCTGCTGATTTAAGAAAAAATTATTTGTAAAATATATTTTATTAATAAAATAAAGAAAAAATTATACTACCTCCGTCCTGGTAGACTTTGCCAAGTGCAAGCTAGGTGAGAAATAAGAATAATAAAAACTGTGTGGTTGAAATTTGTGCAGAGGAGAGAGAAATGTGTAGAACCACAAATTAGTTGATTTAATAGAAAAGTGACAAAGTTTTTTGGGACAAGTAAAAAAGGAAAGTTGGCAAAGTCCAATGGGACGGAGGGAGTATGTAAAAATAGCTAAAATGTTCATCTACAGTAACTTCAGCCAATACAACCACAAAAGTAACTACAACCTTACTTTTTTGGCTTATTACACAATTCAGCGCGCGAAAGCAAAAGTTGCGTGTTTGGTGAAAAAGTTGTTTGATAAGCCTGATAAGCCGAAAAACAGTACTGCGAAACAGGCCCTTCATATGGATATGTTCTTTCATCCGTTGGAAATTTGTTGAGAAATTTCAATCATTCTGGTTATACTCATCCTTATATTCATCTTACACTCACATTATACCTATTATGTCTGTGAAAGTTTTTTTTGTTTGTGAATCCGGTTCACAGACAAAATATGTCTTATTTTGTCTGTGCAAAATTTGCACAGACATATTATGTCTGTGAACGAGATTTACAAAAAAAAATTGCACCAACATGATGAGTATAAAAGTGAATATGAGGGTGGATACAAACAGCATTTTTGGAGAAATTTTGCTTAAGTACTTCAATACTTCAATTCAACCTTCACCTAAACATTAAAGGTATGTTTACACTTTTTCTCTTTATAATACCGACTCTAATACCCGTTTAGTTCTGTAATTATATTCAGAATTCGACTTTAACAATCTCCAAAATCATATGATCGCAATATATATGATTATAGATTTACAAAATAAATAACAATTAACATTTCTATCATGCAAATTATAATACTATACTACGTAGTGTTTAAAATTATTTTCATGTTATAAGTAATCAAAATCATATGATCGCAATATATATGATTATAGATTTACAAAATAAATAACAATTAACATTTCTATCATGCAAATTATAATACTATACTACGGGAGTGTTTGCAACTGCTTCTGCTTAAATAAAAGCACTTTTGGAGATATAAGGAAAAAGTGATTAGTAGGAAAATTTGATAGTGTTTGAGAAAAAAGTGATTTTGAAAAGTAAAAGTTGATAGTGTTTGGTAAAATAAGTGTTTTTTGTGTAATAGAAAGGGGAAAAGCACTTTTCACACGCAAGCCGAGAAAAAGTTAAAATTGGTAGTGTTTGGTAAATAAGTGTTTTTTTAAGCCAAAAGCTGAGAAGTGTTTTTTTTTAAGTGATTGCAAACACTCCCTACGTAGTGTTTAAAATTATTTTCATGTTATAAGTAAAAAAAAAAAAGAAGACACCCGATCCCTGAGGGGCCCCCAACACCGACCGGACGATACGATGGGAGGATGTAAATTGGACTATAATCACAATCTGACAGATAGAGAGTGAGACTCCGTCCCCGGTACTTGCAGAGGCCATATGCATTTTTAGCATAGTAACCTCTCATCGCAGTTGCCGGAATTCGAACTCGGGACCTAACCCTTAAGCGACCAGTTAAGCTACGCCACCTATAATATGGCCACAAACTTATATAATTGGACCATCTTGAATTTTACTCACACAATTCACATTTTCTACTTGACTATATTCTATTTATTAGTTATTACTGATTTCAAAATTAAATATTTTCAAGTATTGTTAAATACTTCTCGATCATGTTAAATTTTAAAATGCTATTTCTTGTATTTTAATAATAGCAAATTCAATGTATCAATTGTCAAAATTTGAAAATTATGCTCCCAAAACGTTGTCAAAGTATCACGCGACTAAAAAAAAGAACAGAGATAATACGATTATTTCAAATAATTTATGATATGCTTATTTGATGAAATTTCTTTTAATAATTAAATAATGAAATTTCTATTTGTACTATGCTTATAATTACAATCGAAAAAGTAATTTTGAACTATTTAGATTCTTTTGAACTAATTTACTCAATACAGGAACATTAATTGTATTTTTACACGGGTGCACCTTTCAAAATTTGTGAGACATATCTACTCTTCTTGCCTATATTAATTTTATACGGAGTATTAGGATAAGAGCCTCGCTATTTGACTATTTCAACCTTTCCTTTGATATACTTTCTCACTTTTTAAATAAGTGCAATAATTCACTTTTCACTTTGTTGATGTACAAATTTGATTATTAATATATATAATTCTGATTTTTAAAATTTACAATGAGATGAACTTAACATTATTTTTACAAAAATTAGAACATATATCTAATTTAAAATTCTTAACATGTTACAATTATTTAAGAAATGTAATCCCAAGCAATGACGTCGGTATAGGAACTGTATCTTCCTTAAGAAGTGATTAACTCGAACGACAGTGGCACCCACCTAACCCATTCACTGACCGCCTATAAATACCGCGGCCCTAATTCTCATTTCTTCCCTTTACCTCTCCAAACATTCTTCCCCCTCACTTCCCAGCCATGGCGACTACTTTACCCATGTCTTTTGATCACTTTGCGGCCTGCCCGTTCCCGGTTTTCGAACCCGATTTATCCCATTGGGAATGGGAAGAACCGCCGGCTCCGGCCTTCGTTTTCCCAACCCAACACTACGATGCTTCCTCGCTGGTGCCGCCAAAACAACACCACATGTCGGATTCCGACTCCAGTTCCGACAACCTTAAGACAAACCACGCCGCCGTTTCAAGTTCGGGTTCCGACGAGCGCAACCGGAACGAAAACTCCAATAGTCACTCGTCGGAGGATGAGCGGAAGCGGCGGCGCAAACTCTCGAACCGGGACTCCGCGAGGCGGTCCCGGCTGCGGAAGCAGAGGCAGCTGGAAGAGCTGAGCTGCGAACTGAACAGACTTCGAGCGGAGAACCTGGAGCTCACGAGCCAGCTCCGGTCGGCGATGCAGCGGTGCGTGGTGGCGCAAAGGAACACCGAGATGATCCGGGCCGAATCGTCGGCTCTGCGGCGAATACTTTGGGATATTCGGCAGGCGTTTCTTCTCCGGCAGCTTCAGAGTCAACAAGAACAGTTGACTTCAGTTCCTCCTCTACATGCATAATAAATCGCTGACAAAAATTTGCAGCATCAAACAACATCAGAAACCCTAGCTAGCTAATTATTCCGTGCCTCAGAATTAATTATTGGAAGTACTACAATCCGTGAGAGCATGTATATACTACGTATCACTTTAATTTATTAATTAAGCTTGAAATTAAATGAGAGATTTTAAAAATTAAGGGATTCGTTCAGTTAGAAAATGATATCATCAAGTGGTAAAAACGACAACCGCGTACTAAAATTTAAAATTATGAAAGGAGATGTATATATGAAGGGATCTCTACTTTGTCTTGATTGGACCGGATTTCAGTCCGGCTTGCCGGCCATATACTACGAACCGGTTTGGTAACACTGAAATGTGTCTTATTCTGCTGAAATTTGTGAAGTTCTGACTAAAGTGGTTGGATTTGTGAAGTTCTGACTAAAGTGGTTGGATTGGCTGATTTTGCTGATTTATGAAAATATTATATTTAAAAAAATTATTAATAAAATAAAGAAATAATTATACGAAAAATAGCTAAAAGAATCATCTACAGTAACTTCAGCCAATACAGTCAAAAAACTAGCTACAATCTTACATTTTCTTACCATTACACATACAATTCGACGCGTGAAATCAAAAATTACGTGTTTGATAAAAATGTTGGCTGATAAACCAAAAACAGAGTCCAAATTAATCAACGTCTGTTCTATTACAAAGTGATTAATTAATAAATACTCCACAAGATTTAAACTAGCTAGGTGGCTATATATAGCTTGGGGTCAATTATACAATTGTTGTTGTGGGCCTTGTGGATATTACTCATAGGGATACTGGTATTAGTATTGTTATGACCTTTTCTTCTGGTGTTTGGAGTGGGGTGGGCTGTGAGAGGGAACGTAGACAGTTTGATAGAGATAAACTTTTTCTTCGGTAAAGAAATTATGATTCATATTCTTTCTTACATATTTTTCTATGCTCTTGAGCTCTTCAAAACATTATGTAATACGTAGTACTTGATATCTTAATTCTCGTGTCAAATACGAAGTATACTTTAATTTGGAATATGATTTTGCGATAATTGGTAATTAAAGGGAGTATATATCAATATATTAAGTGATTATTATATGTATGTACTCCGGATACATATGCTCAGTAGTCAGTATGTACTTGGAAAAAAAATGCCTAGTACTAGTAGTACAGTAGTACTACCACATGAAGCGCACTAGCTACGAAAAGCAACCATTCTAATGTCATCATCTCATTTTGTATCCATGAAATGGAAATGAAATAGGGAAAACTATCAAATAAGCCCCCCAACTAGTTCAAAAAAGTCAATTGAGTCCCTCAACTAAAAAAACATTCAATCAGACCCACGAACTGTTAAAAAATAAGCAAATCTTCCTTTTGTCAGGTGTACTCTCGGTTTCCAGTCAAATTGCATCTGTGGCATCTGATGTGGCTTTTTATCTTTTCTTTATCTTTTTTACTTTGTTTTTCTTTTCTTTCTCTTTTATTTTTCTTTTCTTTCCCACTACATTTCTTCTTCCCTGTGGGCTGCGACTCCACACCTGCGAATTCTTCTTCCTTTTTCCTTTCTGGTTTCTTTCGTTCTTTCCCCTTCTCTTCTCCCCCCTTAGTCCCCTGCTCACATTTTCCCGGTCTGACTTCACCCTCCTCTTCTGCACCGTCGGCTAGGGTCTCCGGCTGAATTGAAGCTGGAATCTGGATGTGGCCTGGAGATCTCACGGAGCACATGCCAAATTGAAGTTCCAACGGAGTATCTTCCCCGACTTCCAAGCCATCGGCCATTGTTGAGGCGTCTCGTGTGCGATGGGTAGTCGGACACCTCCAGCGACCTAGATTCCCACCGTCCCACGGACTTTGCCAGTGTATCGTCGGTTGAGGGATGATGGCCGGGTAGGAGAAGAAAGAGGAAAGGGGGAGAAGAAATGGTGGGTAGAAGAAGTCAAGAAGATGGAAGAAGAGAGGTGAAGACTCTGCGTGAAGTTGCTTGAATGGTGAGGTGGAAGAGAAAGATGAAGGAGAAGGGAAAAAGAAAGAAAAAAGAAAATACAAAAAAAATGAAAAAAGTCACATGGGTTGCCATGTGTACAAATACCGGTTAATCCATTTCTTTACCGGTGAAAAAGAGTATTTGACTCGATTTTAGTGGTTGGTGGGTGTGATTGGGTGTTTTTTTAGTTGGGGGGTTTAATTGACTTTTTGGAACTAGTAGGGGGGCTTATTTGATAGTTTTCTCAAATGAAATACAGTGTATATACGTAGTATATAATAGGGGTGAACAAAAAAACTGAAACCGAAACCGACCGCCAAACCGACCGACCAAAACCGAAACCGATCAAAACCGAACCGATAAAATCGAAACTGACCGAAAGTGACTAATTCATCGGTTATTTGGTTTACGGTTCGTACTTTTGGCTTAAAAAAACCGGTCAAACAAAAATAAACCGGCAAAAATGGCTAAAATCGATAGAAAACGATACGAATTGACCAAAATTGACTCAATTTTTGCGGTCGGATTCTCGGTTTCATCTAGTTTTAAAGTCGCTAAAACCGACCGACTAAAAACCGAAACCGATCAGAACCGATACGACTAAAAACATAACATGTTGGTCCCATTTTAGTACTCCGTATGTTTTACTGGGGAGTTTTCATAAAAACATTCATATGATAATAAAAGAATTGAATATACGGAGTACAAATCATATACGGAGTACTACGTAGTAATAAGTACATGGAATACGCTGCGCATCTATGTTATCTCCAATTACTTAATCGCCAAGGTGTTAATTTCAGAGGAAACCGGGAATTGAGTACGAAAAGTTTTAAGCAAATTCTTTTTAGTTCATCTTTAGTTTTTCCAAGGTAAAATAAACATTCTAACATAACCGCTTTTGCTCAAAGTAGAAATAAAAACATAGACCAAAGTGAAAACACGATTAAATACGTTTCATCCCCAAAATACAACTTGTGTAAATAAAATTATGGAAAAAGTTAAAACTTTTTAAGTGGGATGTTCCTGAAACAAAAAAAAAGTAGCTCTATAGAGGCCAGAGGATAGGGATACTTCATTAATTAGTTCCCTTACAAATAAGTATGCTATTTGAAACATATATTTAAGGGGTACTTTCAGTTTGCACCCCATTTTATTATCCAAATTGGAGTTTGCACCTCGTTTTAAAAAATCTGTGTTTTTGCACCTCAACCCTTATGAAAAGACAAGAATGCCCATTGATCAGGAATATGTTGAAGGCCAACAAAATTGTTAATGAAAGGACATTTTTGTCTTTTCATACAGGGTTGGGGTGCAAAAACAAAGTTTTTTAAAAACGGGGTGCAAAGTCCAATTTGGACAATAAAATGGGGTGCAAATTCAAATTATCCCTATATTTAATATCCTCCCTTAAAAGACCCATAAAAACCAATTACAGTATATAATGGGTCTGAGCTCTTTAGCAGTGGACCGGTGGCGAACCAAAGGGGCCAAATCCCCCACCCCCACTTTTTATTTTTTTTCCTAGTATTTTTAATATATGTGTGTGTATGTATGAATTTTTGCACCGTCGCCCCTCCTAACAAAAATTCAGGTGTCCGCCGATAGATGGTGGTGGCTCCAAGAGATTCCCATTGTTGAAAGCTTTGGTTGTGGTCCTCTGAATAATAAGATGTAAATTCACCGTTTTAATTCCAAAGGTTTAAAGCTTTTATATATATGCACTACAAGTCTACAACCCTTGCATCATTAAAAAAACTAAAATCGTTTCCAAAAAAAAAAAACTACAAGTTTTTTTAAAATCGTTTCCTATGAATCAATAGAGTAATCCTGATGAGTGATAACCAAGTTATGGTAACTCTGCCCAACGAAAATCCCTATAACTCTAAGTATCATATACATTATACAGGGCCACACTCTATCAACCAAATTGTAACTACTAACTATAGCTCATATTAACCTTCTATCTCATTAGACTGTCCCGGTAAATTTAGAACGGTTGTTGAGAATGAAATGCATCTTCTTCTTTTCATTATTTTTGTTTAGATGTGTGATGTTTCAAATATTTGGCCTTTGCCATCCGTGGTTGGTGGTGGTCGAAATATCGAAGGTATTGGCTTGGTACAATGGTACCCAACATTTGTATCTTGTTTCTTTCACTTTTAATTGTTAGTTTGTTAAAGGCATTTCAGCTAATGAATAGTGAAAGAAAAGTACAAGCTTCATTCATTTCAGAGTTATTCGATTACAGGGGTTATTACATCATATATATTGAGTCAACTAACTGTATTCGGTTATACTAACCGACTTAAAACTGAAAAATATTCGTATGTATATATATGTATTATATCTAATACCCCTTCTCAAGGTGGGTCATGTATGTTCAAAAGACCCAACTTGGAAATAGCATGAAGGAACATTTTTGGATATAGACATTTTGTGAATACATCAGCTAGTTGGTTTGCAGAAGAGACATGAAGTAGGTGTATAAGGCCTGCTTGAAGTTTGATGCGTGTTATGTGACAGTCCACTTCTATATGTTTTGTTCTTTCATGGAAGGTAGGGTTCTTTGCAATTGCTATTGCAGACTGACTGTCAGAAAATATGGAGTATGGCATTGGAATATGAGTGGAAAGATTGTCAGAAAGGAACTTTATCCACTGAAGTTCACAAGTCAGTGAAGCAAGTGCCCTGTATTCAGCTTCGGATGATGATCTAGTCACAGTAGATTGTTTCTTTGACTTCCATGAAACCAGAGATTCTCTAATAAAGACACAAAATCCAGTCACTGATCTTCGTGTGGTTGCACAGGTAGCCCAGTCTGAATCTGAAAAGGCCTTAATTGTGAAAGGAGTGTCTGATGGATAGAATAGTCCTAGACCAGGATTACCCTTTAGGTATTTTATTATTCTTATTGCTGCATGCATGTGAGGTTCTCTGGGCTGAGAAACAAACTGGCTGAGATTTTGAACAGAAAAACTTATGTCAGGTCTTGTGTTGGTTAGATATAGCACTCTTCCTATGATTCTTCTGAATGGGGTTGGATCTGGTAGAAGAACCCCTTCTTCAGCAAGAAGTTTAACTGATGGATCTGAAGGTGTAGTTGCAGGTTTTGTGCCAAGTAAACCAAATTCATCAATCAGTTCCAAACAGTATTTTCTTTGGTTGACTATGATCCCCTTCTGAGATCTGGCAAGTTCAAGCCCTAAGAAGAATTTCAAAGGACCTATGTCTTTGATCTCAAATTTCTGGTGAAGATGATTTTTGACAAATTGGATTTCTATCATGTTGTTGCCACTGAGAATTACATCATCTACATAGATGAGTAAGACAGTGATAGAGGTACCTTGATTTTTGATGAACAAGGAGTGATCTGGACTTTGTTTATAGCCAAGATATATAAGTTCAGAGTTGAGCTTTTGATTCCAATTCCTGCCAGCTTACTTTAAACCATAAATAGATTTTTGAAGCTTACAAACAAGTTTGGAATCAGTGAGATGCATTCCTTGAGGAGGTTTCATGTACACTTCTTCATCTAAATCTCCATGAAGATATGCGTTGTTTACATCAAGCTGGTGTAGGTGCCAGTTATTAATTGATGCAATTGCCAATAAGAATCTGACTGTAGTGAGTTTTGCAACTGGGGAAAAAGTTTCAAAATAGTCTATTCCTTCAGTTTGTGTGAATCCCTTTGCTACCAACCGGGCCTTGTGTTTGTCTAAAGATCCATCTGCCTTGTATTTAGTCCTATATACCCATTTGCAGCCAACTAACTTCTTGTTTGGGGGTAGAGGGACCATAGACCAAGTCTTATTCTTAACAAAGGCATCCAGTTCTTGCACCATGGCTTTCTTCCAACATTCTTCAGAGTTGGCTTGTTTGTATGTGATAGGGTCAATGTGAGCAGAAATATTATGACAGAAGGAGGTGTGTGTGTGTGAACATTTTGCATATGATAGATATGAATGCATGGGATAAGTAACTATGGGAGTTTGATCTGGAGAGGAATGATTGTGGTAACAGTAGTATTGATTCAAGTGAGTAGGTTTGGACTTAGTTCTGGTGGAGGTCCTGAGTGGCACTATTGAATTTTGTGTTTGAGTTGGAGGTGGTGGTTGTGGCAGAATGATTGTGTTGGGAGACATAATTGGTATTGATGTATGTGGTTGTTCTGGTGTAAGTGTTGTGAGAGAATGAATATTAAAAGAACTTGACTCAGGATCAAAAGTATCAGGTGTGGAATTTGACTCAGATGAAGGAGTGTATGGAAAGATGGTTTCATGAAATACTACATGTCTGGATATAAAGAAAGACATGGACTGCAAGTTGTAAAGAATATATCCTTTTGTGCCATGTTTGCGACCAAGGTAGATGCATTTTGATGCTCTGGGAGATAATTTTGTTCTCCCAGAAGAAAGAGTGGATGCATATGCTAAACACCCAAACACTTTTAACTCAAGCAAATCAGGTTTTTGGTTGAAAACTAGTTCATAGGGTGACTTTTGCTTTAGAAACTGAGAAAGAAGTCTGTTTATCAAATGAGTGGCATGCTTTACAGCATATGACCAGAAACCTTTGGGAATTTTTGACTGAAAAAGCAAGCTTCTGCAAACATTCATCAAATGTTGATGTTTTCTTTCAACGATTCCATTTTGTTGTGGGGTTTCGACACATGTGGTTTCATGGAGAATACCTTTGGAGTTGTAAAAATCAGATATGAAAAATTCCTTTCCATTATCTGATCTTAGGCGTTTGAGTTGACAATGGTGTTGGTTTTCAATCAGAAGAATGAAGTTTGGTAAGAGAGTTTTGACCTCTTGCTTACTTTTAAGCAAATGAACCCAAGTGAAACGACTATAGTCATCTACTACAGTTAAAAAATATTTGAAACCTTCTATGGAAGTTATGGCAAGTGGTTCCCATATGTCAACATGAATAAGTTCAAAAAAGTTGCCTGTTTTGTGAGTACTGTCAGGAAATGGAAGTTTTCTTTGTTTAGCAAAAGAACAAACATCACACACATGCACTATGGGAAACTTTATTGAATTATACTGAGAAAAAAGTGTTTGAAGTACAATATTTGAGGGATGACCTAACTTGTAATGCCACAAAGTACTCAAATCACATGATGCATTGTTTACAGGATGTGAAATGTTATGACAACTGTTTTGACTGACAAGGGAATCTCCAACAAGATGAAACAGTCCGGATTGTTGTCTAGCTGCT